TGTCTGTGCTGGTGCTCGCTCCCCCACTGAAGCTCTCTACTGTAATCCCATTCACCTGCTCTTTCCTACAACACCTGCTATTTTTTGCAGGAGGTTGATATTTTGTTCACCAGGTATTTTGTCAAGCCATTTTTGAATAGCATTATTAACAGTCCCAGTTTTTACTGATTATTATGGGAACTATGTTTGTTTCATGCTGCCGCATATGTCAGCATTCGATTTGTAGCTCAATATATTTCACGATCGTCTCTAGCTCCTTATTTTTTAGGTTGTAATCACTTGGGATAGCCACATCAATTATTATTATTATTATCATATTTTTGGAGCCAGAGGCCTGGGCCTCAGCAGGATCTGAGGAATGTCCTTGCAAGTGAGTGGCCTTTGCCAGATATTAACGTCAAAATACATTTCTGCTGATTCCCCACGCAGACTACAGCACCTCCAGCGCTTGTGTTTGTATGTATTGAAGTTACCATAAATAGCACTGCAAAGGAAAAAAAGCTCCCATCACAACCCTTCAAATCCAGCTGGCCTGCGATCCACATTATATTCGTTTCCCTAGGCAAATGTTCAGATGTCAGCCTGGCTCGGTCGCTTTTGCTCTCGCCTCTGGATTAGAAGGTTGTGGGTTTGAGTCTTCCCCCCCCCCCCCCCCATGTTGGGGGACTTTGAGCTCATGGTCTAGGCTGACACTCCAGTGCAGTGCTGGGGGGAATGCTGTGTTGTCGGAGGCGACGTCCTTCAGTAGAGGTGTTATACCAAGCTCCCTGATCTCGCAATGTTTCTCGAAAAGAGCAGAAGGGAGTTTCAATTTGGGATGGTGCTGAATTGTCAATAATTCTTTAATCTGCACTGGAGCTCTCTACTACAATCCCAATCCCCTGCTCTTTCCTCACTGTGTCTGTGCTGGTGTTTGCTCCTCCACTGGAGCTCTCTACTCTAATCCCATTTCCTGCTCTCTCCCCATCGTGTCTGTGCTGGTTCTCACTCCCCACTGGAGCTCTCTACTCTAATCCCATTCCCTGCTCTCTCCCCATCGTGTCTGTGCTGGTGCTCGCTCCCCCACTGAAGCTCTCTACTCTAATCCCATTCCCCTGCTCTCTCTCCATCGTGTTGTGCTGGTTCTTGTGTGTATGTTTGTCTCCTTGATTTTTTTTCTGACAATCCTGAATTTATATCCTCTTGACTTGACCAATTGGGGACAGGCCCTCTCTCTCTCTTTCTCTATCAAACCGTTCATAATTTTGAAAATGTAGATTCCTCCTAAATCATTGTCCTTTGCACACACATAGACACACACACACACACAAAGACACACAATGAGATACACAGACACACACGCACACACACACATATCCTCACCCAGGCGTGTACACACACTCACACACACGCACACACGTGGGCGCACTAATGTGGAAGCACACATATAAACCAAAACAAAATCGGAGTAAAACAAGAGAATAAATAATAATCTGCAAAGCTCTTGGGTTCTTGACCCAGAAACTGAGGGTGGGACAGTAAATAGCTGTGAAGTGGCTCGCACCGCTTTTATATATAGCCAAATGGTTCAGTGTTTAAAGGAACTGAGGCTTGATAATTAAATCATTTGTTTCAATGTGAAACCAGGTCATTGCCTGCGGGCATCAGTGTGAAGCAGGCAAGAGCAAGCAGTCTCTCTTTCTTCAGTTAAAGAAGCCTCCAAACACACGGCTGAATTCATCTCTTTTAACAACAACAACAAGAACAAGATTACATTTGTATAGCGCCTTTCAAGTCGAGAGGACGTCCCAAGGCGCTGGACAGAGTACAGCATTTCAGACCCGAGCTGGGGTTGGGGGGGGAGGGGAGGGGAAGGGGAGGTGACCGATGGCATGGTCGATGAGCAGGATTTTGAGGCGGGACTTGAAGGAGGCGAAGGAAGGGGCGAGGTGGAGTGACTGTGGCATGGAAATCCAGAGGTTGGGGGCAGAGTGGCTGAAGGCTCTCCCACCAATGGTGGGGCGGGTGGGTCAGGGAATGTGGAGTAGGCCAGAGCCGGCTGAGCGGAGGGAGCGGGCGGGTTGGTAGGGGGTTAGGAGGTCGCAGAGGTAGGGTGGGGCGAGGCCATGGAGGGCTTTGTAGGTGAGGACCAGGATCTTGAACTGGATCCTCTGAAGGATAGGGAGCCAGTGGAGTCGGGCAAGAGTGGGGGAGATGGGGTCACGGAGTTTGGTGCGGGAGAGGACATGGGCTGCAGAGTTCTGGATTATCTGCAGCCTGTGGAGGGAGGAGTTGGGAAGCCCAACACGCAGGGCATTTGCATAGTCGAGCCTGGAGGTGATGAAGGCATGAACAAGAGTTTCAGCGGCCTGAGGGGTGAGGTAGTGGCGGAGTCGGGCGATGTTACGGAGGGGAGGGAAGGCAGAGCGGGTCATGGCTTGGATGTGGGGAAGAAAAGACAGTTGAGGGTCGAACAAGACACCGAGGTTCCTGACTGGCGGTGAGTTGAAGTGTGCAACCATGGACAGCAGTAGTCGTGGAGTTGAGGGTGGAAGCAGAAAGAGGGGGAACATGTAGATATTAAAGAGGAGAGGACCAAGGACAGAGCCCGGGGGGACACCAGACGTGACAGTCCGGAGGCTGGAGGAGAAAATGTTAGAGGAGACGGTGAGAGAGATAGGAATCGAACCAGGCAAGGGCAGGTCCGCGAAGATTAAGTAAAGAGGAGAGGCGGTGTATGAGTTTGGAGTGGTCGACAGTGTCGAAGGCGGCAGAGAGGTCGAGGAGGACAAGGAGGCAGAGGGAACCCTGATCACAAATGTCATTAGTGACCTTGACCAGGGCTGTTTCCGTGCTGTGGGCAGCGCGGAAGTCGGATTGGAGGAGCTCAAAGAGGGAATGGTGAAAAAGAAAGGAGCGGAGCTGGGACGCGATGACTCGTTCCAGGACCTTGGAGAGGAATGGGAGGTTAGAGATGGGGTGGTAGCTGGAGAGGAGGGAAGGGTCCAGGGAAGGTTTTTTCAGGATGGGGGTGATGATGGCTGTTTTTAGGGGGTTGGGAACTGAACCAGTGGACAGGGAGAGGTTGATGACGTCAGACAGGAGAGGGGCCAGAAAGTGGAGCTGGGAGATGAGGAGAGAGGTGGAGATAGGATTGAGGGAGCAGGCGGTGGGTTTGAGTTTGCGAAAAAATGGCGGTGAGGGAGGAGGGAGAGATAGGGTTGAAGGAGTACAGGGGGGGATGGGTGGGGGGTGGGTCATGAGGGAGAGGTGATGTGGGGATGGCAGTGGAGATGCATCATTGAACACCAATATTTGCGGGGTTCCTAAACATGGTCCTAAACTGTTTTTTTTAGGAATACTAGCAGGTGCTTCCCCTTTTATTCCACTCTGGGTCCAAGTACCACAATATTCTTGGAGCCTGAGACAATCAGGTTATATTTATTTGCTGTTTGGGCTGTGCAGTCCGTGTTAGCCCAGCTCAGTCGCACACCGTGTTAGCCCAGCTCAGTCACACACCGTGTTAGCCCAGCTCAGTCACACACACACCGTGTTAGCCCAGCTCAGTCACACACCGTGTTAGCCCAGCTCAGTCACACACCGTGTTAGCCCAGCTCAGTCACACACACACCGTGTTAGCCCAGCTCAGTCACACACCGTGTTAGCCCAGCTCAGTCACACACCGTGTTAGCCCAGCTCAGTCGCACACCGTGTTAGCCCAGCTCAGTCACACACCGTGTTAGCCCAGCTCAGCCGCACACCGTGTTAGCCCAGCTCAGTCACACACACACCGTGTTAGCCCAGCTCAGTCACACACACACCGTGTTAGCCCAGCTCAGTCACACACCGTGTTAGCCCAGCTCAGTCACACACCGTGTTAGCCCAGCTCAGTCACACACACATCGTGTTAGCCCAGCTCAGTCACACACCGTGTTAGCCCAGCTCAGTCACACACACACCGTGTTAGCCCAGCTCAGTCACACACACACCGTGTTAGCCCAGCTCAGTCACACACCGTGTTAGCCCAGCTCAGTCACACACCGTGTTAGCCCAGCTCAGTCACACACACACCGTGTTAGCCCAGCTCAGTCACACACCGTGTTAGCCCAGCTCAGTCACACACACCGTGTTAGCCCAGCTCAGTCACACACACCGTGTTAGCCCAGCTCAGTCACACACCGTGTTAGCCCAGCTCAGTCACACACACCGTGTTAGCCCAGCTCAGTCACACACACACCGCGTTAGCCCAGCTCAGTCACACACACACCGTGTTAGCCCAGCTCAGTCACACACACCGTGTTAGCCCAGCTCAGTCACACACCGTGTTAGCCCAGCTCAGTCACACACACCGTGTTAGCCCAGCTCAGTCACACAAACCGTGTTAGCCCAGCTCAGTCACACACACCGTGTTAGCCCAGCTCAGTCAGATGCCCTCTGTCCTGAGTCAGAACAAAGCCCACGTTGGGGACTTTGAGCTCACAGTCTCGGCTGATACTCCAACGGAATGCTGGGATTGGTAGAGGGGAAAGTGCAGCAGTGTCGGAGATGCCATCCTTCTGATGAGGTCCCATCTCACAAGTTTGTTTCAGTAGCAGAATACCCCTCTGCCCATTTTATCCCATCCAGACAGAAACATTACCTATCCACTACTATCCTCCCATCAACAGCATCAAAAAATGCCAGTGTCCTGACCTCAACCACTCTTCCTGGTATCTCCATTCCAGTGGTTAATTAAAGAAAAACTTCCTGGTGTCTGTCCTGACGTTGCACTTTTTAACTCTAATCTAAACCTGTGTCTTCTTGTTCTCCTTCTTGGTGTATCTGGTAATATTGTGCTGGGTTTACTGATCAATCCTGTTTATAATGTTAAATACCTCTCAGATGTCTCCTCTCTCAAGGCTGAGCATGTGGTTTAGGTGGACATTAAGAATCCGAAGCACCACACTCACTCCGTGAGTGACAGATAAAATAAATAGCTGTAAAAATCTCTGGTTATGAATGTTTTGTGTCCTCTTCTCTAGGGTATTCCTGCGGGCGATCAATCAGTATGCAGAGACTCTGAATAAAATGTTCCTCAATAGTTCAAGCTTTGAGCTTCAGGTACGTACACACCTGGGCTACAGCTCCAAGGAGAGAGAGTGCGCATTTCTATCCCATACACATGTGGGCCACTCAGGCTGGTTTGGATACACATAATGCAGGGTGATGTGTTCTCATGTGTGTGCCTTCATATCGCTCCCTTCATGTACGGTAACGCCTTGGAGCATGACACAGGACTGACAATATAGTGCAGTGACGATGTGTTTTTTGGACAAACACGGCAGCCAATTTGCACTCAGACTGGTCTGGTCTGTCAGCAGCAGTGCCCTGGAGTCAGGACTATAATATTCAGTAGTAATGATCGCTGGCGCGGTGATGTGTAAATTGCTGTAGAATTTGTGTGTGTGTTTGGTTCACTCTCTCTCTCTCTACCTCAGCTCTGGAACAACTACTTCCACCTGGCCGTGGCCTTCCTCACACAGGACACACTTCAGCTGGAGAATTTCTCAAATGCCAAACGCACGGCCATTTTGTTCAAGTAAGCGTCCTGAGGTTCGGCTCTGGTGGAGCAACTAATAATAATAATAATAATAATAATAATAATAATAATAATAAGACAGCAACCTGTGTTTAAATGCTGCCCTTCACCCAGGGTAGTGTCTCGGAGCACTTAACTCATGTTTATACAGCGTTATCAGTTGCCCTGCTTTCAACCACCACGCCTTGAAGCTTTGGAACTTTCCCTCAATTTCTCCGCCTCACCCCCTCCTTCCCCATTTTCAGATCGCACCTTACAATCGACTCCCCCCCTCTCCCCCCAGCTCGACATCAAGCTCCATTACTGTCATGCGCTCCGAGACACCATCCCGTGAGAAGGGCGTTGTGTAAATGCAAGTTGGCGTTGCCCTTCATGTTGCAGGGAAGAGTGAGGTTGGGAAAGATCTCAGAGATAGTGGGGCAAGGGAGGTGCATGGGAGGGTATATAGGGATGTACAGGTAAGGAGCTCGGCGATGGGTTGGGTTAGCCCCGCCCCCCCCACTCAGATTGACAAATATTTTTGTCTTCAATTGTCAGATACGGTGACATCAGAGGAACAGTTGCGGCATCAATCCGTGACATGTGGTACAATCTGGGTAAGCCGGCCGGCATTTCACCATCGGTTACACGCTTATCATGTCAGGCTGGCTCAGTCACTAGAGCTAGTGCTCTCGCCTCCAGGTCAGACGGTTGTGGGTTCGAGCCCCCGCGTTATGACTTTGAGCTCGCAGTCCAGGCTGATGCTCAGTGCAGTGCTGGAGGGAGCTCCACATTGTCGGAGTTGCCATCCTTCGGATGAAATGTTAAACTGAGGTCCCATCTAACTAAGCATGATTTTGTCAGCTATAGAGTGAATCACTGGATCCTTCCTGTCACACAGCCAGTGTGCACAGGAGAACATCTCAAATTTTTACTGTAAAGTGTAATGAGTGTATTTGTAATAGAACGTGGCAACCAATTTGCACGCAGCACTGGATTTGGCCAGTCCTAATCCTTGACTATTAAGCACCTTGGGACGTCCCCCCAATGTGAAAGGCGCTTTACAAATGTAATTTTGTATGGTATTGTATGGAGAGAGTGACAATTTTATCTGGGGGGATTGTCGACCAGGACACCAGGATAGAGAAACTCCCATCTCTAACAGTGTTGCAGGATCTTTAACATCCACCTGAACCGGAGAACTGAAGGACGGAGGCGCCAAAAACGCAGCACTCTCCCAGCACTGCACTGGAGCGTCAGCCTGGACTGTGTGAACTTAAACAGTTAAATTTCCTTGCGCTGTGCAGGGAGCAATGTTCACTCTTATTAGTCAGTGAAGATGATTATATCCTTGAGGCAGACAGCAATAGATCACAGTTGTAGTTTCTTAAGACCGTCAAAAAAAATCTTAAAAAGTACTCCAGGTACATACTGCAGAGCGTAGAGACTGTTAACATGTGCACATTACACAGACAGAATGTAGATTGTTTTCACTAACAATAGAGCAATGCTCTTTTCTAATGAATAAACCACACACAGACACTTCTAAATAGATTCTCAATGCCTCATACTTTGGGTCAGTCTCGTCCTGTGACATAAGGGACTGCTCAGGCCTTAGAGATGGTGCAGAGGAGAGCAACAAGGCAGATTTCCAGTGTTAGAGGAACGAGCTGCGAGCAATGATTAGATAGGCTGTGGCTCTTCAATGCTTGAGAGATGATGGCTCAGAGGGGACCTTATAGAGGTATATAATATCTTAAATGGGATTGAAAAAGTAAGCCCAGAATAATTTGTTGGGTTTCACAGAGACAGCAGAACAAGTGGACACAGGTTTAGAGTTGCTAAGGGGCAATTTCAGGACTGACACCAGGAAGAATTAACCAGATGGTAACCAATAAATGGAACAGGGTTACCAGGAAGTGGAGTTGAGGCCAGGGCACTGGGATCCATTTAAAAAGTAACATAATTATGTGATGGGAGGACCAAGCTGATCTTGTGATCTTGTATCTGACCCACCCAAACATCAATCTTTCCACTTAAGAGTCTCCAAACCCAAATGACTGAGAGTTCTACATGTGCCTGGGTTTTCAATCCTGGAGGGATGCACCCTACTCACCTAACCCTGGAGAGTATCAGGCACAAATTGGCCAAGGCTTGGGAGGAACCAGGAGTTTATGTTGGGGGAATAATAATATAATAATCCTTGCATTTGATATTGTCAGAGGTGAGACATTAAAACAAGGCGCCCATTTAGGTGGGCGTTAAAGATTCCACGGCACTATTCAAAAAGAGAAGGGAGTTTCTCTCTCCCAGTGTCCTGGTCGATAATCCCCCAGATTCACTTCATGGCTGTTTGTGGGACATTGCTATGCGCAATTTAGCTGCCATATTCACCTTCACCATTTCCAAAACACACAGTCATTACACTTTACAGTAAAATCCTGTGAAGTACTCTGAGAGTCCCTATGTATCAAATGTGAGGATTATGATGATTATAACATGACTGGGATCAAGCGACTGATTCCCCTGTTAAGATCTGGAAAGTGCCGTCGAGTCAGATCAGTGAAACTACAATTCAAAATAAACAAATGTGCTACAGGGGGAGAGTGGGGAGGGGAGGAGGGGTTGAGAATAGGGATGGAGACAGTGAACAGTCACTCCTTCTCATTGCTCCACCTAGTCCGAGAAAGAAAAATATTTGCTCTCCTTTGAGCGATTAATCCTGCTCTGTAATAAGAAATCGTTAGCAATTTAAACTAGGGTTCTCCAGTCTCCTTCAATTTGTTAGCTGCTTGATGAGTGTGATTGTCCTTGAGAGTGCAGTAATGTGTTTACTGCAGTGTGGTTCGGACTGTGAGCAACCCAGCCTGGGAGAGGGGAGGAAGAGAGTGGGTAGGAAGGTAGGGGAGAGAAAAGTGAGGCGAAGAAGAGAGGGCAGAGAGAGAGAGAAAAGAGAGGGGAGAGAGGAAGAGAGGGGAGAGGAAGGGAGGATGAAGGGAGAGGGAGGGCAGGGCATGGGAGAAGGAAGGCAGTGGCAGTGGAGGGGAGGATGACTGGGGACGAGCGGAGGAATAGGAAGGAAAAGAGAGGGGGAGGGGAATAGAAGAGTGGGAGAAGATGAAGGCGAAGAAGAGAAGGAGGGGGAAGGAAGGTGGGAGGAAGGAAGTAGTAGTGGAAGAGGCTGGGAATCCAGGATAGAGGGGAAGACGGCAAAAAAGAGATTCGGGCGAGGGTAGAGGGTGGAGGATGGGGGGGCAGCGTTTTGGGATGTCACCAGCACTGTGAATCTAACAAGACCAAACCAGTTGATTCAACTTCAAGTCACATCAATCCCGTCCCTATTCTCTGCTCCTTAAATTATTTGAGCGCATTTTTCATAAATTGTACAGAGCAAAAAAAATAATTGCACGTCATTAAAGATTACAGTCAAAGACTGCAATAATAATGCTCAGCAAGTTAAGCTCAGAGCACAGAGCCTAACCGTGATGAAGAGACTAACAGAGAGGCTGACAAGATAGTGCAAATTAGCTGTTGCATCCACCCACAAAATGCACAGTGTCAGCCTGGCTCAGTCAATAGTGCTCTCACCTCTGAGACTGAAGATTGTGGATTTAAGCCTCCCTCCACATTGGGACTTTGAACTCAAATCACCTAAGCTGACACTCCAATGCAGTGCTGGGGTTGTTCTGCATTGTTAGAGGTGCTGTCCTTTGGATGAGACTTTCATCGTATCCTCCACTCCACTATCAGTGGCCGCACTTTCAGCCACTACGCTCTGAAACTTTGGAACTCTCTCCCTCAAACCCTCCATCTTGCCCCCTCCTTCCCCATTTTTCAGATCACACCTGAAGACCCTCTTCGACCATGGAACAAGAAGGTTTATGGTCAACCACCCCCCGACTCATCATTGTGCTTCATCACTGTTAAGCTCTCTGAGACATTATCTCACGTGAAGGGTGATGTGTAAATGCAAGTTGTTGTTGTTGCTTGTTCAGGTGGACGTTAAAGATCCTGCGGCGCTACTTGACAAGGGAAGAGAGTTTCTCTTTCCTTGTGTCCTGGTCAATACAGATATAACAATAATAATCCTTGCATTTGATATCACGTCTTCAAGACGTTTCAAAGCGCTTCACAGAATATACTGTAAAGTGAATTGACTGTATATTTTGTGGGTGAAACGAAACAGCCAATTGCGCACAGCAGTTTCATAGGAACATAGGAACAGGAAGAGGCCATTCAGTCCTTGGAGTCTGTTCCGCCATTTAATTAGATCATGGCTGATCTGTACCTCAACTAACCTTTTCAATTCCAATTTCCTGCTTTCTCCCCAGATCCCTTGATACCTATCAAAAATCTATCAACCTCACTCTTGAAGGTGTGGAAGTTGTGTCCCACAAACATTTGTGGATTGAGTGACCAACTTATTGTTGATTATTATTATTATTCTTTGAAGGAATTATTACCCCCAGAAAAGCGATCCGCCAATCGACTAACAATCAGGTTCCTACTTACTGCTAGGTAAACAGAGTCTTGTGGAGTAAGGAAACTTGCCCAATATTTCACCCTGATGGGAATCAAACCCAGGTCTCTCACTTGCAAGGTGAGTGCGCTAACCACTGAGCTACAGGACTCCACAATGACTCATTCACTTCAAGGCTGTTTGCAGTGCTTCACTGTGCACAAAGTGGGCATCGTGTCAAACTCTAGGATTATTGTTGTTATATTATTGTCATAAAAAGAGCTACTGTGCTTCAATAAACTGGCAGAGGGTGGTTCGGAGGGCAGATATGCCTCCTATTACTGTGAAAGCATTTGCATTCAAAGGGTAAACCCCAGGGTCAGTGGAGAGAGAGAGAAAAGTTTTAAAAAGATGAATAAATGATTTGCCTCAGGGCTGCTTTTCTCTTGGTTCGTGATGGAGAAGGCTTTGCAAATTTCCACTGTTTCCCTGATCCTGCAGCCCAGTCTTGCAACATTTCCCGATATTCATCACAACCTTAATTAACCTTCAGGACATTTGGGAAACCTTGTTCATCGCAGTTTGAGAACACATTAGAACACAGCTAAAAAGGAATAAGCTACAGGGTACAACAACAACTTGCACTTACATAACGCTCTCCACGCAGGGTGGCGTCTCAGAGAGCTTAAAAGTGGCAGAGCCTGACTTTGAGCCGGGTGGGGGGTGGGGGAGGTGGCTGTAAGTGCAGTCGAAGAGGAAGGTTTTCTGGCAGGACTTGAAAAAGGGGAGAGGGGGCAAGGCGGAGGGATTGAAGGAGAGTGTTCCAGAGTTTTGGAGTATAGTGGCTGAAAGCGCGACCTCTGATGATGGGGCAGAGGGTGCGAGGGGCGAGAAGGAGCCGGTGCCAGTTGAGCGGAGGCACTGGGTAGTGGATTGGGGAATGAGGAGGTCGGAGAAGTATGGAAGTGCCAGGGAGTGAAAGGATTTGAACACGAGTGTCAGGATCTTGAAGTCGATCTGTTCGGTGATGGGGAGCCAGTGGAGCCTGACCAGAACTGGTGAGATGTGGGTACAGAGTTTAGTCCAAGTCAGTATGCGGGCAGCAGAGTTCTGAATGAGCTGGAGTTTTTTGAATAGTGGAGCTGGGGAGAGCAGCGAGGAGTGCATTTGAGTAACCCAGGTGAGAGGTGACAAGCGCATGCACAAGGGTTTCGGCTGCATTTGGGGTAAGGTACAGTCGGAGGCAACAATGTGGTGGGGCTGGAAGAAGGTGATCCTGGTCAGGGACCAGATGTGGGGGAGGAATGACACCTGGGGGTCAAACCGGATGCATAGATTGCAGCCGGTTCAGGGCAAGATGGGCTTCTTCTGCACTGTAAAATTGGCCATTTAGCTTCACGTATTTTGGGGACTTTGAGCTCACTGTACCAACTGACATTCCTATGCGGAGTTTCGGGGTACACTGCATTGTCAGAGGTCCTAAAGATAATAATCCTTGATTTGACATAGCACCTTATCATGTCTCAAAGTGCTTCACAGAATATACTGTAAAGTGAATTGACTGTATATTTTATGGGCAAAACGAGGCAGCCAATTGCAGATAACAGTGCCCCACAAACGATCATGGATCGAGTGAACAGGCACAGATGAGCCCTCTTATCAAGACATCTTATTCAAGCGACAGCACCTCTGACAGTGCGGCACTCCCCCGAGACTGTGCAAGTTGAAAGTCCTGAAGTGGGGCTTGAACCCACAAGAGGCTACCGTGTTACCAACTGAGCCAGGCTGACACCAAAGCCAGCACCAGCTGGTCGGAGTCTACAATTGTGCAGGTTTAATCGTATTCAATGGTAAGAAAGACAGGAGATTATTTGTCTAAATTACTGGACAGTTCAGTGGCTGTTTTCAATTAACTGCAGCTTGTTAAATTCAGGCATGTTCCTCATGGTTATCATTGGCTTTAATTCCCTGTTGATTCTCTACCAAGTGAAGATAATTTACGAGCCAAATCCTTCGGAATGATACTCCAATTATCGCCTCTTCCATTAATTAAAGGTACAACCAAAGGTTCCGACCTGGAAAATTAATGAGAGATGGATAAGAACTGGAGAGGCAGTCAGGGTGTTCAACATTCAGTCATTATTCTTAGGATTCAGCCTGGATGACTCGGTAGCGCTCTCGCTTCTGAGTCACAAACCTATGGGTTCAATTCCAATCCCCTTGGGTATAAACCTTCAACTGTCCAGTGCCTTGGAACAACTTCCCGACATGAAAGGCACTGTATAAATATGATTTATTGTGCACATTTTTATTCAAGCCCCACTTCGGGGTTTTAAGCTCACAGCCTAGGCGATTGGTGGTCAGCCTTTTGTTTTGTTTGGCCAATAAAATAAATACATATATCAATACATAAATCAAGAAATATTCAAGCAAGAAGCATTTATTTTCTTAGGCAACCAAAAAGGTTGACCACCACTGGACTAGGCTGACACCGCATTGCAAGAGCTTCTTGTCTATGCCTGATCCTAATGTGCTGTGCTTGCTTGGACCCTCTGCAGGTCAGAACAAGTTCCGCTTCATCCCGTCACTGGTGGGGCCCATCCTGGAGATGACACTGGTCCCTGAGACAGAGCTCCGCAAGTCCACCATACCCATTTTCTTTGACATGATGCAGTGCGAGTTCCAGTTCCAGGGAAACTTCAGAATGGTAAGCGAGAGAACCCAGAGAATGGCATCATGTGTGTCATGATCTACTTGTTAATTGATCCCACATCAATGCCACAATCCACATGTTAATCAATTGCCTGTCCATGCCACAGTCTACGGAGTAATTCAAGTGTCAGCCTGGCTCAGTTGGTTGTCCTCTTGCCTCTGAGTCAGAAGGTTGTAGTTTCAAGCCACATGTCGGAGCTTCGAGATAACAGCACCTGCAACAATGAAGCACTCCCCCAAGTCCTGCACTGGAGCACCAGCCGAGATCGTGTGAGCTCAAAGTGGCCTTGAGCCCACAACCTCTGACCTAAGAGCCAGAGTGCTACCGACTGATCCAAGCTGGGACTGTGTATTTAATAGGTGAACTGGGCAGCCAAGTTGCACAGAACAACGTCTCAAAAATAAAACAGCCATGAAGTGAGTGACCAATTTTACCTGGAGGATGGTTTCCAGTAGCATCACATAAACTCACTGAGTTTATTTTTGATTTGTTTTGCCGAATTTGAAATCGTGAGATTAAAAACCTACCAAATGGAAGGAATGTGAGCAGCAATAAAGAGAGCAGTAGTTTAATTACGCTTTTATTAGGAGCAATTGCAGCCATTAACTCAAATTGCATCTGTGTAACGCTTTCATGTCTCCGTGTCATTTGGACGACCAATTAGAGGAATAAATATTATGGGCATTTCTTTGAGAGATCGTTGCTGCATAATTTAAATGTTAATTGTTCTCATTCATTATTGATTTGCATTTGCAAATATAATTTCTGGGATTAGTGTTTGTTGGGGTGTTTTTCATGCTGTCTAATTGCTGCCTGTCAGATTTTAGATGAGCAACACATCCACACGCTGAGGGACACTGGGTGAAATTGCCATCCGTTATCCATCCTCCCCACCACTCATCAATCCATCCCATTTTCCCTCTCTCCCTCCCTCCATTTTATCCTGGTTCAGTCGCTATCACTCTCCACTCTGAGTCAGAAATTGATGGGTCAAAGCCCCCACCTTAGGACTTTGAGCTCACAGTCTAGGCTGACAATCCAATGCAGTGCATCGTCAGAGGTGCCATCTTTCAGATGAGACATTAAACTAAGGTCTTGTCTGCGCCTGTTCAGATGGACATTGAAGATCTCGCGGCGTTATTCAAAAGGAGAAGAGAGTTTCTCCCTCTCGGAATCCTGGCTGACAATCCCCCAGAGAAAATTGGTCATTCACTTCATGGCTGATTGTGGGACGTTGTTATGAGCAAATTGACTGCCACATTCATCCACATATTACAAAATTGGGGTGACAGTTGTGAAGCAGTCTGCGCTGTCCTGTCAGTGTAAAAGGCGCTGTGTAAATGTAAATGTAAATTGTAATTGTGTTATTGTTTTTTTTGGCACAGTAGACCTCAGACAAACTGGTGAATTCCACTCAGGATTTCTTCCTCTCTGTCTTTTCTGTTTGCAGTTTGAAGATGAAATTATTAAACGATTGGACCACGAAGTGGAAGGAGGTAGAGGAGATGAACAGTACAAGATGCTCTTTGAAAAGATGTGAGTCTCATCTCCAGGCTTTGGTCATGTTTGTTATATCTCAGAGTCGTAACAGACATTGCCAGACTTCACTGTTTCCCCAACAGCCTGGCTCAGTGGGTAACACTCACACCTCTGAGCCAATGGGTTCAAGCCCCACGTTGGGACTTGGCATTACCTGGTCTAAACTAACACTTCAGTGCAGTGCTGGGGGTTGTTGCATTGTTGAAAGTGCTGTCCTTTAGATGAGATGTTAAACCAAGGTCCCATCTGCCTGTTCAGATGGACGTTAAAGATCCCTTAGCACTATTTAAAAAGAGTAGGGAGCTTCTCTCTCCCAATGTTCTGGCCAACAATCCCCAAAATAAAATTGGTCACTCACTCCATGGCTGTTTGTGGGACACTGCTGTGCTGCATTTTGCCCACAAAATAGACAGTCATTCCACTTTACAGGAAATCCTGTGGAGTACTTTGAGAAGTCTCACCAATGTGATAAGGCGCTATATCAAATGCAAGGATTTAGTTTATTATTTATTATCCCAGAATGGATCGACTTTAAGCTCCTCAACTTGTCTACAAATCGCTTAATGCCCTGTCACCTCCCTACTTTTCTGGCCTGCTTATTCCCCACTCCACCATCTGTCGCCTTTGCTCGGCTGGTTATGGTCTCCTGCACGTCCCTCATACCCTCCACTCCACCATCGGCAGTTGCGCATTCAGCCACCATGCCCTGAAACTTTGGAACTATTTCCCTCAACCCTTCGCCTTGCTCCCTCCTCCTTTTTTAGGTCTTGACTGAAGACATTCCTTTTCAACCATGCCTATGGTCACCTTCTCCCTCCACCAGGCTCGGCGTCAGGCTCAACCACTGTTAAGCACTCCGAGACACTACCCCATGTAAATGTGCATTGTTGTTGAGAAAGCTGTCAAGCAGAATCAGTCGGAGATAATAATAATAATATTAATAATTATCATTGCCTTTGATGTAGCCCCTTATCACATCTTCAAGACGTCTCAAAGCACTTCACAGAGTATACTGTAAAGTGAATTGACTGTACATATTGTGGACAAAACGCTGCAGCCAATTGCGCACAGCAGTGTCCTACAAACAGTCGTGGATTGAGTATCCAAATTATTATTATTTGTGAGATTCAGAAATTGTATTAAAAAAAGTGGCCATCGTTACATTTATTGCAAATTCACTGAATTTCATCCCCATTAATTCTGATACAACTTATACATGTCAGCTTTTTTGTATTAAAAAGTTGTATTACGTGCAGGTTGGCAAAAGCCAAGGCTTAGGGAACCCCAGAATTTGTATTATTCGCTAACCACCGAAGTCTAACCATCTAAATCTGCATAGTTTGCCCGTTGAGAGCATCGTTTGTCAAGCTTTCCACTTAGCACATACTGTTTAGGGCTTTGGCTTGCATTTTTAACATCCACTTGAAGAGGCACAGATCAGGCCAGTAGGTTGAAGCAGATAGTATTTAAGAGAAATATACACATGAAGGAGAAGGGAGCAGACTTGTATAGACACTGATATGGACTAGTTGGGCCAAATGGCCTGTATCAGCGTCTGGGACACTACCCTGCATGATGGATGCTTATAAATGTAAGTTGTTACTGTTGCTGCTGTACCATCTGTGTATATCTCATTCTCTTCCTTCTCGCCAGCATCCTGGAGCACTGTAGAAAATACACGACCCTGGCAAAGCTAGGGGAAAGCTTTGTCGCCCTGGTAACAGGCCTACTGGAGAGGCTGCTGGACTACAGAAATGTAATGAATGATGAGAAGCAGGCCTACAACATGAGCTGCACTGTCAACTTACTGGTACGTGCCTGCTTTCACCTCCCCTCTCTCAGCATCAAGCTCTGCCACTGTTAAGTGTGCAGAGATGCTTCTCTGTGAAGGGAGCTGTATAAATTAGGGTGACCATACAACAACGACAACAACAAACTATCATGGGTATAGCACCTTTCATGTCAAGAGGACGTCCCAAGGTGCTGGACAGTCAAGGATTTGGACCCGAGCTGGCGTTTGGGATCAGAAAGGATGGATGGCAGGGAGGGTGTGGGTTGGAGGGTGACCAAAGGCACAGTTGAAGAGGAGGATCATGACATGGGCCTTGAAGGAGGCAAGAGGGGGAGGCGAGGAGTAGGGACTGTGGGATGGAGTTCCAAAGGGTGGGACAATGTCACTGATTTTCAGAGACAGTCCCTGGATGAGGTATTGTGTCCCTCGTCAAATTTGCCCTGCGGTGAGTTCAGCAACAAACTGAGCAAGAACAATAAAATTCTAAAACATATACACGTACAACAACAACAAATACAACAACTTGCATTTATGCAGTGCCCTTCACGCGGGGTAGTGTCCCAGAGCTCTTAACTATAGCGGAGTCTGACCCCGAGCCAGGGGGAAAGGGGGTGGGGAGGTGACCAGAAGCACGATCAGAAAGGAAGGTCTTTAGACTGGTGGGGAGGGGATTGGGGGAGAGAGTTTCAGAGCTTTGGGGTGTAGTGACTGAAGGCACGGCCGCCGATGGTGGAGTGGAGGTTCAAGGATGAACAGGAGGACGGAGCCGGCCGAGCGGAGACAGCGGGTGGTGGAGTAGGGGGTGAGCAAGTCGGAAAGGTTGGGCGATGCAAGGGCACGAAAGGATTTGAAAATGAGAGAGAGCCTCTTGAAGTCGATCCATTCGGACATTGGGAGCCAGTGCAGCCTGGCAAGGACTCGTGTGATTGGGTCTGGAGCTTTGTGGGGGTGAGTATCGGGTGGTGGAGTTCTGAATTAATTATATTTTATGTATGGTAGAATTGGGGAGTTACGCGAGGAGGGCATTTGAAAAGTCCAGAAAAACACTGCCATAAATCCAACACACTTCCCCAGTAACTGCCAGCATCAGGAATTTTGATGAGTTCAAATTTTTATATGTGTATACCTGGATTTGGTTTAGAAAATATGGTCACCCCGGTAATGCAAGTTGCTGTTGGTGGTGGTGGTTTTATATAGGATTGAGAAAGTTACCCAAGGCGAGTACTTTGAATGCACCAAAATAGTAGAACAACAGGACACAGGTTTAGAGATTTAAAGGGGCAATTTCAGGACAGACACCAGGAAGTATTTCTTTACCCAGAGGGTAATTAATGACTGGAACAGGGTTAGTAGGAATGGGAGTTGAGGCCAGGACACTTGGACTCATTTAAAAGCAGCTCAATGCTATAATAGGGGGATGGTAGGGTGGGTGTTCTGGAGATCAGATGAGTCGAAGGGTCTTCCTCATCTTCAATCTTGTGATCTTGTGACACCACCACAGAGATGTACGACTGGACCTAACAACTGTATGTTGATGTCTGCTCATGTTATAATGGAGTCAGCCTGTCAGAGTCAGCAATACTCTCTCCTCCTAGTCAGAAGGTTGTGGGTTCGAGCCACGCATCGGAAACTTTGAGCTCACAGTCCAGACTGATACCCCAGCGCAGTGCTGGATGGATTATCAGAGGCGCCATCCTTCAGATGAGTCATTAAACCGAAGTCCCGCCTGTGCCTGTTCAGGTGGACGTTAAAGATCCAGTGGCACTATTCATAAAGAGAAAAATTATAAAGGGTTAAAAATCAGCTACACTTCCTGGCTGTTTGTGGGTCATTGCTGTGCGTAAATTACAATCATTACACTGTACAGTAATTCCGGTGAAGATCTTATCGATGTTATAGGCAATGTTACATTATAGAGCAACACTTTGTTGGTGCTGGTGTTTATACGCTACACAAGATGCCAAATCCCAGCTTCCTCACAGAGTACAGGCCGACTGCGCGTGCCCCTCCTCCTCCCCAGCACCATCACCGGCTGTGTCTTGAGCTGCCACATCCCTAACCTCTGAAACTCCCTGGCTCTACCCTCTGTCCCACTCACCCCCTCTTTATCTATCTTTAAATCTCACCTAAAAAACAACGACCACGCCTATGGTCACTTCCCCACTTCTTCCTCGCTCGATGTCCAACCTCGCCACTGTGCCATGCCTTGAGATGCTATCTTGCAGGAAGGACGCTGTGTAAATACAATACATATTTACGTTTATATGTATATCCTTGGGACATTGCGGTGCGCTTCGCAAACAGGCTGCCAAGTTTCGCTCACAAATGCGCAGTCAATCCACAGCTTCCTGTGAAGCGCTTTGAGATGACTCAATGACATGATAAGGTGCTACATCAATGCAAGGATTATTATTATTTATTATTATGTAGCTCCTTTCATGTCAGGAAGGCATGTATCTAAGCATTAGTCCCATGGCACTTCATTTAATCTTTCATTCAGAAACTCAAGGTGAAGCTTTGCTGACAGAAACACTGGCGATCAATCGCATTGTGAAAATTGAGTTGAACGGGAAAATCCATTTCTGCCTGCACTCCCCCCACCCACCCCCGAAAGGGTATTGATCTACTTTAATGAGCTAGTCATTAATATTTCACAATTGGGCAATGTTTTGAAGCAAGATTTCATACCTAAAGCAACTTACAGTTTTTTNAATAACACCCACAATATTGAACCACCCCATTCACACTCCAGTCTGAGTCTCCAGCTCAGTGCTGGGGTGGGGAGCGCTGCATTGTCGAGGTGCCGTCCTTCGGATGTGACGTTAAACCAAACATCTGTGCCTGTTCAGGTAGTTGTCAAAGATCCCACTGCGCTATTGGAAAAGGGAAGGGAGCTTCTCTCTCCTGGTGTCCTGGCCAACAGTCCCCCAGATAAAATCGCTCATTCACTTCAATTCACAGCTGCTTGTAGGGTGTTAAGTGGTGTAAAAATCGGCTGCCGTATTTGCCTACAAATACACGGTCACTTCACTTTGTAATATAGCATGTCTCAAGATGTCACTTGACCGCGCTTTCCATCATCTTTTGACTCACCACGCGCCCCCTTTGGCTCACACACCCGCTTTGGCTCCCACCCCCAGCACAGGTGCCTAGACAACAACAACAACAACAAAATTGCATTTATAGAGCACCTTTCACGTTGGGAGGACATCCCAAAGCGCTGAACAGTCAGGGGTCGGGGCCCGAGCATGGGGGAGGGGTGTTGTAGGGCTGAGGGAAGGCAGAGAGGTGGGAGGGAGACCAAAAGCACGATCGAAGAGAAGGGTCTTGAGACCGGCCTTGAAGGAGGCAAGGGAGGAAGTGAGGTGAAGGGACCGTGGGATGGCGTTCCAGAGTGTGGGGGCAGATAGGCTGAAAGCCCGGCCAACGAGGATAGGGCGGGTCGGGCGGGAGACATGGAGCAGACCGGAGCCCGATGAACGAGGGAGCGCGCAGGTTGGTAGGGAGTCAGCAGGTCAGAGAGGTAGGAGGGGGCAAGGCCATGAATGGACTTAAAGGTGAGGACGAGGATCTTGAACTCGATCCTCTGGGGGATGGAGAGCCAGTGGAGTCGGGTGAGGGTGGGAGTGATGGGGTCACGGAGCCTGGTGCGTGAGAGACCACGAGCTGCAGAGTTTTGGATGATCTGCAGCTTGTGAAGCTCACTGAAGCACTTTGAGATGTGCTACTGCCTTGAAAGGCGCTGTGTAAGTGTAAATCTCTATCCATTGTGTTGCATTGCAAATCCTGTGAAGTGCTGAGACGTCTTCTCCACTTGAAAAGAACCAAACACAAGGATTATTATTACCATATAACACTTCATGTGTGCACTTGACAGCAATAATAATAATGATAATAATCCTTGCATTTGATATAGCCCCTAATCATTTTGTTGAGACGTCTGAAACCACTTCACAGGATAAACATTAAAGTGGATTCACTATGTATGTGGGAGAAATGCAGCAGCCGGTTTGCACACAGCAATGTCCTGCAAACAGCCATCGAGTGAGTGACTAATTTTATTTGGGTGGATTGTTGGACACAGGGAGAGAGAAACTTCCTTCTCTTTTCCAATAGCGCCACGGAATCTTTAGCATCCACCTTTTGGCCACAACAATACACAGTCACTACACTTTACAGTGTAAAGGCACTTTGAGATGTTCTGACGACATGATGGCGGGTTACATCAAATGTGAGTATTATTATTTTTAAGACAGGGCAAGAGAAAAATGGGTGGAGGGGCGAAAGGTGAGAGGGGAGGACGAGGAAGATGAGAGAGAGGAGAGGGAAAGGGTGAGAGCGAAAGGTCTCAGGAATATTGTAAACAACTCCTCATTGGTTTTGAACACCTATAAACTTGGAATTGTTTATTGACTTCTTGGGAAGCAGAGCTTTCTCATTGTATCTCAATCCCTTGATAAAGTACACCAATGGTAATCACAGGACTCTCACCCACTGTCCTCTCCGCTCTGTGTCGGGAACAGCTTCTTGCCTTTTGTGGGGGGTGGAGGGGGGCGTTTGCCTGGGATTTCCTTCCCTGCCTTAATTGGATCTCAGGCAGACATATCACAGTCTCAAAGCTTCACAGGGAATAGATAATATTTGACACAGAGGTGCATCAGAGTCAGATGTGCCAGACTGGCTCAGTCGGTATTGCTCTCACCTTTGAGTTAGAAGGTTCTTGATTCAAGCTTTCACAGGTTGGAACTTTGAACACATAGGCTGACTCTGTGCAGTGCTGGGGGAGTTATACTTCGGTTGAGACGTTAGACCGTCTGTGCCCTATTCAGGTGCATGTTGAAAATCCTGCGGTGCTATTGAAAAAGAGAAGGGAGTTTCTCTCTCCCGGTGTCCTGGCCGACAATCCCTCAGATACAATCAGTCACTCTCATCATGACAGTTAGTGGGACGTCATTGTGTGCAAATTGACTGCCATGTTTGTATTCAAAATACACAGTCACTACATTTAGAGAAGCACTCCAAGACACTACCCAGCATGAAGGGTGCTATATAAATTAAAGTTATTGTTGGGTTGTTGTTGTTTTGATGTTATAACAGCTTTATCGAATGCAAAGATATAATAATAATCCTTGCATTTAATATAGCACCTTATATCGTTGTCTCAAAGAGTTTCACAGGATATACTGTAAAGTGAATTGACTGTATATTTTGTGGGCGATATTTTTAATTGTTTCAAGATGGATTTACGAACATTAGTTATGAAGCATTTCTTATTTTTTGTATTTTTTTCTGCAGAATTTCTACAAAGAGATAGACCGCGAGGAGATGTACATTCGGTGAGTACAACTGACTGATGCCTCCACCCGTCACACAACCTTGTCTGGTTTTGCCTGTTGATTGTCTGCCACGTTCCCCTACACAGTATATAATCACTAGCCTTCATGGTGAATCTCCTTGAGACATCCTCCTAATGTGAAAGACGCTGAATCAATTGCAAGGATTATTATTATATTATTTCACTTAGGGACGTCACTGGTGTAGATTGGCTGGCACATTTGCCTCTAAATGAATGCTCTCCCAGGACTGCACTGGAGATTGTGGGAGCTCAAAGTCCCTTTTTGGGAGCATGAACCCACGACACCTGACTCAGAAGCGAAAGTACTAGTGACTAAGCCAGGCTGACACCATCGGTCCAAAAAAAGAGTATTTTTGCCTTAATAAACAATCTTGTAGCCAATGTTTGGGCCAATTCCTGAAATTCAGCTTTGAAAGTATTAGGTGTAGGTGTGGCAGGAGGTGCGTACATGGGGGTGTGGCTGAGCCTTAAGTTGCCAGAGGTGCTGTCCTTCGGATGAGATGTTAAACCGAGCCACCATATTTGCCTGTTCTGTTAGAGATCCACAGCGCTGTTGGAAAAGAGGAAGTGGGTTTCTTTCTCCTGGTTCCCTGGCCAACCGTCTTCCCCCCTTGTATGTATTGTTTGTTCATCTGGTGGCTGTTGGTGGGTATTGCTGTGTGCAGCATAATTACAGGTCACTCAACTTAACAATAATAACAATCCTTGCATTTAATATAGGGTCTTATCAAATCATCGAGGCATCGCAAAGTGCTTCACAGGATATATTAGAAATTGTATTGACTGTGTATTTTGTGGGCAATTCGCAGCCGCTGATTTGCGCATAGCAGTGTCCCACAAACATCAATGGAGTAAGCGACCAATTGTATCTGGGGGATGGTTGGCCAGGACACCAGGAGAGAAAAACTGTTTTCTTTTTGAATATTGCCATGGGATCTTTAACATCCACCTGAACAAACAGATGGGACCTTGGTTTAACATTTGATCTGAAGGATGTTGCCAGGGCTTACCCAATCAAGTGTTTTGAGAGGTTTGGGATGTTATACTAAGCGATGCTGCCTCATATGGTTCAGTATTGGCTACAGGAAAATGAGGAACCAGATTGAAAAAAACACATACGTTCCATTTAGCTGGTCCCAAGGCCAGCGGAATAAATAATCTGATACGTCTCTCTCTCTCTCTCTCTCTCTCTCTTTCTCGCTTATAACCCCCTCAAATCAATTCCGTCACCAAATAACAATCCCCTGCTGAAATGGCTGACTCAATACTCACTCCATCAGTCTGGATTACTTTATAAATTTAATGTTGACCACTTTTTCTTCACCCCCACCCCTCCACCCCTTTCACACCCCGTGAAGTGAATGGCCAATTTTGATTCCATATCTGGAGCAATGTCAGCCAAGCATACCTGGAGAAACTTCCTACTCCCTCACAGTCTCTCTCCCTGAGCCTTGGCTCTTGCCAACCTGAGCCTAACACTCTCTGGGATTGGGTAAACAGGATGTGTCCATCCCAGGAGCGAGAGGGCATATTCCATTCTAGACACCGTAGAAACAGTTAACTGTCCAATGACTTTGAGTTATTTCCTCCCTACCGTGTCGTCTCACCATCAAGTAACACCAGTCTAAATAGCATGTCTCCCTCCGGTCTCCCACAGTCCTGCTATTCATCAAATCTGAGTGTTGTGGCGCTGTTAATTCCCATTACAAGCAAGCGACCGAACACTGAACATCTGCTAACACGCAGTTTGACTGATTAGTCACACTGGCTGTCAGAAGTGACAATTAGCAAAGGAAGGTCACCCGAGTGCGCTGGGTGTAGGGTGAGAAGGAGTGGAGCAAGTTTCCTTATCACTGCCCCACACTGCCTCGCCAGGGCACTTCAGGATTCATACCCAGCGATGAGCAGTTTGACATTAGGATGTTAATGAGGATCTGCAGGCATTCGCCAAGGATATCTCACAATGTGCCGGAGCCCCGATGTTTGATTACAGCCTTGAAGTGAGGCTCAGGGTGACACAGCTACAACATTAATGACAAACCCTGACGTTCAATGAAACAATTCCCAAACTCACTCAGAGTGTCAGTTTGACTCAGTCGGGAGCAATCTCAGCTCAGAGACGGAAGATTGTGGGTTCAAGCCCCCACTTTGGGGATTTTCAGGCCACACAGTCTAGCCTGACATTCAGTTCTGTATTGGGGGTGGAGCTGCATTAGCAGAGTCGCTGTCCTCTGGATGAGATGTTAAACTGAGGCCCCATTTGTGCCTGTTCTGTTGGATGTTAAAGATCATGTTAAAGATCATTCTCTTGAAAAGAAGAGGGTAAGGGGTAACCTGATAGAGGTCTTTAAAATGATGAAAGGTTTTGATAGAGTAGACGTAGGGAAGATGTTTTCACTTGTAGAGGAGACCAAAACCAGGGGCCATCAATATAAAATAGTCACAAATAGATCAAATAGGGAAGTTCGAAGAAATTTCTTCACACAGAGAGTAGTGGGAAAGTGGAACTTGCTACCACAAGGAGTTGTTGAGGCAAATAGCATAGATGTATTGAAAGGGAAGCTCGATAGGTACATGAGGGAGAAAGGAATAGAAGGTTATGCTTGAAGGCTTAGTTGTGGAAGGGCAGACCCATTTTCGGGTCCCAAGGTCACTGCTAACATCACTTCCTGTTCCAACTATCTGTCACCTTGTCATGGTCGTACTCGTGAGCGATTCTCGTGCCCCACTCCCCTCTCCCTCACTCAACATCCGACCCCATCACTATGCAGTGCTCTGAGACACTATGCTGTGTGAAGGGTGCTGTATAAGCACAAATTATTGTTGCTCTTGTTGTTGCTGAAGTGTTTTGAGATGTCTCGATGGCAGGATAAGGCACCATATCGAATGCAAGGATTATTATTATATTATTATCTTCCAGAACTGAAGCCCCTCAAAATAATGTTGGTAACTTGGAGTCCTGTAGCTCAGTGGTTAGAGGATTTGCCTCGCAAGCGAGAGACCTGGGTTCAATTCCAGGCAGGGCAAAACCTTGGGCAATTTTCCTTACTCCACACGCCTAATAATAATCCCTCCAAAACAAAACAATAATAAATTGGTCATTTTCAATCCGCAACTGTTTGTGGGACACTGCTGTGTGCAATTGGCTGCTGGGTTTTGCCCACAAATATACGGTCAATTCACTTTACAGTCTTCTGTGAAACGCTTTGAGCCATCGAGAAGACGTGAAAAGCCCTATATCAAATGCAAGGATTATTATTATATTATTATTATTATTATAACATGTTTGAAATATTTGGGCTATGTTTTGGGAGCATATTGGTCGAGTGTTAGTAAAATATTGGTTATGCGTTGGTAGTGTGTTGGTGAAGTATCAGTTATGCATTGGTAGCGTGTTTCTTACTTGTCTGTAACATGTTGGTAACCAGTTGGTAGCATGTTTGTAACATGTCCATAACACGTTGGTAACATGTCATTAGTGTGTCGGTAACATGTTATAAATCTGTGTTCTACTCTGTGTCCTCAGCTACCTCTACAAACTCCGAGACTTGCACCTGAGCTCCGAGAATTATACGGAAGCGGCCTACACTCTCCTCCTGCACGCCAAGTTACTGAAGGTGACGTGTGCGATGTGTCGGGGAGCTTGCGTGTGGGTTGGGGGCTTTGCGTCGGACTAGGATTTTGAGTGGGGACATGCTGTGCTAACCTGTGCCCAAATGAAGAGCTGTTCACTGTTTAACCTGCTGGACACATCCATTGTGAAATTGAGACATCATGACCCATATTACAACGATAATAATATCTCAAGATACAGTATAGAGTTTGGAGCACGACATGTAAAGTGACTGCCAGGATGGTGGAAGGTGAACTAGATGGACCTTGGTCTTCTTTGACCTAGCAAATTCTTATGTTCTTATGAAAAGTTACAAGAAATAGAGTGGACATAAATTCTTCCCACTTGGCTCCTGATAATCCTACAAGCCATAGCCCTGAGGGATACGGTTGGGCTAGCTAGACAAGCAGTGGGAAAGTGAGTTAATGTTTCAGGTCGATGACCTTTCATTAGAACCCAGGTCTCATGTCTGTGCCTAGAGTTCCAACGAAACGTCATCGACCTGAAACGTTAACTAATTTTCCTTTCTCCATAGATGCTGTCTGACCTGCTGCGTATTCCCAGCGGCTTCTGTTTTTATTTCAGATTTCCAGTATCTGCAGTATTTTTTGTTTTGTTTAAGCAGTGGAAAGCTTGCCAGACAGTGGTCTCAATGGCAAGCTAAGCATTTATCACTGGTTAGTGTGTCAGACTGGTTCAGCGCTATCGTATGAGTCAAAAGGTTTGGGTTCCAGCCTCACATGGGGGAACTTGGAGCTCACAGACAAGGCTGAAGCTCCAGGCAGTGCTGGGGTTGGGTTGCAATGTAAGACGTGACGTCCTTCGGATGAGACTTTAAACTGAGGTTGCATGACTGTGCCTGTTCAGGAGGACAGCGTCCTGACCGATAATCCCCCAGATAAAAGCAATCAATCGTTCCATGTCTGGTTGCGGGCTGTTGCAAATTGTAGGCAAATTGTTTGCTGCGGTTGCCTACAAAAATATACAGTCAACTACATTTTACACAGTGAAATCCTGTGAAGCACTTTGAGACGTCCTCCTGAAATTAAATCCCTGTATCAAAAGGCAAGGATTTGCAATATTTTTCAGATATGCAACAGGCACTGGGTCAGGGTATGTGTGTTTGTGTGTGTGTGTGTGTGTGCGTGCGCAGGGGGTCACAAGACATTTGCTGAACACACCTGCCTGCGAGTGTATATTTAACATGCTGGCTGCCCTGTTCAGCAACTGCTGTGTAAATTAGCCTGTTTGGTTTTAAATAATATGTCAAAACTTTGCAATCACCCTTGTCCCCTATCTCTCCTCCCACCCCATCCAAACATACGCGCACACGTATTTTCTCGGTGATGAAAGATTGCGCACACTCTCAGCTTCCTGGCTGGAATGGAAGTGGCTTTTGTGTGCAGTGTCCTGCGGTTTGTATGACAGTAATTGGTTGGTTACACCCGGCGTGTCGGATTGCTAATGGGATTAAGGCTTTACCACTGATACGCACCACCCAAACTCCCTCCTATAGCACTGCAGGGCACTGACTAGCTAATTGACTGAGCGTTTGGGGGAGGGAGGGGGAAAGGGGGAAGGAATTACTCTCACTGCTCAGCACACTTGCTCAGCACATCGTCTATCCTGCATGATGGTGCTCTCATTGTTGCAGTGCTGGGGGGAGTACCACATTGCCAGAGGTGCTGTCCTTTAGATGAAGTGTTAAACCCAGTTCCCCAACTGTTCAAATGGATGTTAAAGATCCCGCGGCGCTATTGAAAAGATAAGAGTTTCTCTCTCCTGGTGCCCTGGCCGACAATCCCTCAGATAAAATCAGTCATTCACTTCATGGCTGTTTGTGGGGACATTGCTGTGCACAACTGACTGCCGTGTTTACCCACAAAACACACGGTCACTACACTTTACAGTGAATCCTGTGAAGCGCTGTGAAACATCCTTACGATCAGAAAGGTGCTGTATTGGGGAATCTGCCAATCTCTCAGCCCCTCCGCTCCTCCATCGACGGCAGTGCTTTCAGCCACTACACCCCAAACCTCTGGAACTCTGCCTCAATCCCTCCACCTCACCCCCTCCAGATTTCACCTGAAGACCTTCCTCTTCAACCATGCTTATGGTCACCTCTCCCCTCTCCCTGGCTCAACTTCAAGTTTCACCACTGATAAGCACTCCGAGCCGCTATACCGCTTGAAAGGCGTTATGTAAATGCAAGTTGTATTAAATGCCAATATTATTTTACTTAAGTAGCAAGTGGCCAGGCCTGGGGGCGGGAGGGGGCTAGGGGGAAGAGGAGGCAAGTTGGAAGGAAAGGGAAACTGATTATTGCTCAAAAGAGTTTTAAATTAAAAAAAACTTGCTTGCTCTGGCTGAGAGTTGAAAGGAATTTAGACACTGAATCCAGCTAGCTAAAAGCTACAGAAGCCTGTGAATTAAGAGGACCCTGATTTCTCTCTCTCTCTTTTTCGCATCTCCCTTTATTTTCTCCAGACAACACTCCCCTCTTCACACCGTTACTAATCCAATTTACGGAGCGTTTAATTGAATCGTGACAATGCCTGAATGTTTGAGACCTGCAGTGATTTACTACACTCACCCAGGTTTCTGCATCACAGAGACTTTGCTTAAATTGATACACCTATATTCATCTGTGAGGCAAGAGTGAGAGAGAGAGATTTCTGTGGCCTGCAATGATTGGTTTTGTTAATATGCATTAGGGTTCAATACTGGAGAGCACGTGGATAAAATTAAGCAGCTTTTGGCAGTGTTTTGAGATCAGAGGGAATCCGTGAGGGTTCCGCCATGGAGTCTGCACTGTGTTCAACGACACGATCCCTGTTAATACCCCTTAATCCATATGAGGCTTTAAGAATGAGCTGTGGCAAACCGGCCTGATGGAGGATTATTAATAATAATGATCACCATAAGAATAATCCTTGCATTTTGTACAGCGCCGTTCACATCAGGATGTCGCAAAGCGTTTCACAGGATCTTAACTGTGAAGTGCAGCGACTCTGTGTTTTGTGGTCAAACGCAGCAGCTGATTTGACAGAGCAATGACCCACAAACAGCCACGAACAACAACAATAACAAGAAATTACATGTATACAGTGTCTTTCACTTTGGGATTGTCACGATTCAATTAAACGATTAAACATCCCAAGGCGCTGGACAGTCAGGGATTTGGACCCGAGCTGGGGGTTAGCATCAGGAGGGTAGAGGGCAGGGAGGGTGGGGGTAGGATGGTGACCGAAGGCACTGTCGAAGAGGAAGATCCTGAGGCCTTGAAAGAGGCAAGAGAGGGGGCGAGGGACTGAAATGTGTGGCTGATTTTTATCTGTGGAGTCCTGTAGCTCAGTGGTTAGAGCACTCGCTTTGCAAGTGAGAGACCTGAGTTCAATTCCAGGCAGAGGGCGAAACCTTGGGCAAGTTTCCTTACTCCACACAGAGCCTAATAATAATCCCTCCAAACCCAAAAAACAATAATAAATTGGTCATTTTCAATCTACGACTGTTTGTGGGACATTGCTGTGCGCAATTGGCTGCCGCGTTCGCACACAAATATACAGTCAATTCACTTTACAGTGTATTCTGTGAAGCGCTTTGGGACGTCCTCCCGATGTGAAAAGCGCTATATCAAATGCAAGGATTATTATTATTATTATTGTCTGTTGGGCGATTGTCAACCAGGAACATGTAGAGAGAGGAACCCCCCTCTCCTTTCAAGTAGCACCATGGGAATCTTTAAACGTCCGCCTGATGGGGAGCTTGGTTTAACATCTCGTCCAACGGACGGTGCCTCCGGCAGTGCAGTGTGGAGGAAAGGCAGGAAAATTAATGTTAAATTGCTTATAAACGCGTGGAGGAGGCTTAGTGAGCTGACATCTTAATCCTTTTCCTCAAAAAAGATTAAAATGTAACTATGTCTAAAGTGCCCACCAGCCTAGTCCTCGCCAAACTCCACTGTCTCTGAAGCACCCAATTCAAAGTCTTCACCAATAAATGCCTTCACAACCCCAACTCTGTGATCTCCTCGAACTTCACTCTGTTCAACCCCTCCTGTCCCCTCACTCCTTCATAGTGGCCAAGCATTCACTGCCTACACCTCTAAGCTCTGGGACTCTCTCTCACTCCTCCATCTCTCCTTCAGTCCCCCTCTCTATCTGCCTTTAAATCCTGTTGAAAAACCTATCTCTTTGGCCATCTGTGGTCACCTCTCCCTCCACGTCTCCCTATCTGACCCTGGTCCTGTGAAGCGTGTGAAGGAGGGCGCTGGATAAATGTCACATGTTTTCGAGCCTTATTTGATTGTGGGACCCGGGGGGGTTAAACTGAGTTAAGCAGAGCTTTGGCTGAGTTAATCTGTATGGGTAACCTCCTGCCTGCTCTCCTCCTCACAATTAATATTCATTTCTCTCTCCTGGTGTCCTGGACAACAATCCCTCAAATAAAATTGGTCACTCACTTCATGCCTGATTGTGAGACACTGCTGTGTGCAACTGGCTGCTGCATTTCGCCCATAAAGTACACATTCAATCCACTTTGCAATGTATCCTGCAAAGCACTTTGAGATGTCTTGATGACGTGATAAGGTGCTAGCTATATCAAGATGCAAATATTATTATTATCATCATTAGTATTGTTATTACAGTGCAAATTACTCAGTGGAGGTAGTGTCTAAGTGGTTTTCAGTGATGGTCAGCCAGACCAATAACACTGCCACGTTACATATTAATAGATGTTACTTTTCATAGTATGTCTGAACTTCATAAAATAACTACTTTGTGCAGGAGATTGATATTTTGTTTACCAACATTGTCAAGCCATTTTTGAATAGTCTTATCCACAGTCCCAGTATTGTTGTTATTATTAATATATCTATGTCTAATGATTGTTGTTTTTTTCCCCCCAGTGGGCAGATGCTCAGTTTAGCACCACCATGCAGGACATGCAGAACTCGCAGACACAGAGGCATCAGAAGGAGACTCTCTACAACACTATCATTGACTATTTCGACAAAGGCAAGGTAAAGGCAGCTCACACAATGAGATGCTCAGGCCCTTTGCCTCCACTGGGCCACAGGTTGAGGCAGTTGAAGAGTTTGATGGAGTGGGTAGATGACCAAAAGAGTTAAGGTTTTGAATGTGGGGATAGAGGGGGTGAGGCAGAGGGACTCAGGGATGCAGTTCCAGAGAGTAGGGGGCAGAATGGTTGAAAGTGGAGTGGGGTATGGGGGGGCAAAGCAGTGGAATGGAAGTAAAGGGAGAGCTTTTTAAAGGCTGTACAGTCACGATGCCTTGTTCAGCCAGAATTTAATGATCTCCGTATCACTTTTGGCAAAGAGAGGAGAGCTTTTCTCCCTGTTGTCTTGGCTGACAAGCCCCCACCCCCGCCATTGGTCACAAATTTCATGCCTGTTTGTGGGACAATTACTTTGTGCAAATCTGCTGCTGGGTTCATCTACAAAAACACTTAGCCACTCCATTTTACAGTAAATCCTGTGAAACGTTATGAGACGTCCTCCTGAAAGGAAACGGACTTGGCCTAAATTTGGAGATGAAACGGTTGGGCAGGCTAAGACTAGATGTCATTGTAGTGTTACAAGTGGCCAAGGGCTCTTCAGTCATGAGAGGAGAGGTCTCAGAGGGGACCTTGTAGAGGTGTGTTAGATTTTATTTGGCCTTGAAAAAGTGAACCCAGATCAATATGTTTTGGATGCACTGGGACGACAGAACGAAAGGACGGGTTTAAAAATGTAAAGAGGCAATTTCAGGACATACACCAGGAAGTTTTCATTTATCCAGAGGGTAATTAACAACTGGAATAGGGTTACCAGGAAGAGTGGTTGAGGCCAGGACACTGGGATTCTTTTACAAATAGCTTGATGCTGTGATGGGGGGATGGTATTTTGAAGGGATGAGGTCCGAACTTATCTTGTGATCTTGTGAATGCAAGAGTGGTCGGTGTCACCCAGTGACTGTTTGCCTACTGCTCTAAATAGATGTGGGAAGAAGCCATTCACCTCTGCAAGGAGCTGTCCGTGCAGTACGAGACAGAGATCTTTCACTACGAGCTCCTGAGCCAGACCCTGGTAAGTAAGGTTGCTCATGCTCACATTGCGTCACAGCGTTGCTAATCCTTCTGGTCATCAAGACATCGAGGGGGATGCCCAGGTCCTGGAGACTGTACGGAGGAGAGCAATCAGGATTATCCCCAGGATTGGATGAGTAAGAACGTAGGAAATCAGCTGACTCCAAGGATATGTTCAGCAACAGTATGTTGGAATAATGCCAGCCCTCCATGATGGTCTCTAGTCCAGTTCCTGAGCCAGGCAGGTCCGCAGTATTCCAGGGCACTGCTGATGAAAGCACAGCCCAGCCTGGATCATTGGCAGGACCTGGAAGGGCAGACCCGTCACTGGGGGCAGGGAATCCTCCCACTCAGCTCCTGTTAACCATGCAAACCAAAGCCGTAACGTGCATGGTGGTCCGAGCTGGACAGCAGCGGGAATGCTTGTAGACAGTGCTATCAACGACAAGCTGGTTAGACTCGAGCACTTATCCAAAAGCACACTCTGGGGTCCCGAAGCTTTGGATCTCGCTAATCTGCATCCAGATCTGAAAAACAAAACAATTATGGAATCGGAGGAGGGGAGTTCGGGGTGGGGTTTGACACTGATCTGGGGATGGGGAGAGACATGGTGGGAGGGGGCCAGGGTAAGATGTGACAGCGTGGCTGATCTGGCTTATTGTTCATCACCTACAGCAACGACAAGCCAAGTTTTATGAAAATATCATGAAAGTGCTGAGGCTGACCCCCGAGTTCTTTGCTGTGGGCTACTACGGACAGGGATTCCCAACCTTCCTCAGGGTAAGAAATACTCCTTCCTCTCTGGAGAGCAGGTGCCATATTGTGTTGTCTGCTGGGGTGGGGGGAGTCGAAACCACTTTCTAACACATCAGAGTGTCCAACTTGCAAAGTAAATGGACCTGACAGGCTTGATCTTCGTTCTTAGGCATCTTTATCCCTTAAGATTAAGAAAATGTGCTATTGAACTCATTAGACTCCTTGTTCACATATTTGCTCACATATCCTTTTGGGAGGACTCATGTTGGGAGGACTCCATGTTGGAGTCCATACATGTGTGATGAGCTTGTTTAGGTCACAATTGGGGATCCTCAGAAAAAAAATGCTCATGACACTCCCCCATGCAAGCCCTTTCCGATGAGGTATAAATCATGTCTCTACATCAATCGGTTATTGCGTTATTGGCGGACAGACACACAGGTGGACATTTTGTCTTTATTAGTATAGATAACACGATGTATGTTACTGGCTATAACTGCATATTATATAATAACAATCTATTATTGGCTATAACACTGTATATTATGTAATAACACACCATGTGTTACTGTCCATAACACTGTATATTATATTAAAGCACTGTATTATATAATAACACACTGTCCGCTCCTGGCTACAACTATATTATACAATGTATGTTACTGGCTATAACATTGTATATTATATAATAACACACTGTGTTACTGGCTATAACATTGTATATTATATTATAACACACTGTGTTACTGGCTATAACACTGTATATTATATAATAACACACTGTGTGTTACTGGCTAAAACACTGTATATTATATGATAACACACTGTGTTACTGGCTATAACACTGTATATTATATAATAACACACTGTGTGTTACTGGCTAAAACACTGTATATTATATGATAACACACTGTGTTACTGGCTATAACACTGTATATTATATAATAATACACTGTGTGTTACTGGCTATAACTGTATATTATACCATGTATGTTATTGGCTATAACGCTGTATGTTATATAATAACACATTGTGTGTTACTGGTTATAACCGTATAATATATAATAACACAATGTGTGTTACTGGCTATAACACTATATATTTTATTAGATGCCGTTGGGTGTAACAAGAGAATAACAATATGTTGTACAATAGCACTGGTATAACTGAAAGCCGTCACTGCTGCTATGAAGTGATGTTTCTTTCTTGACTGCACAAGTGATAAATCTAACAAGAAACACAAGGAACACCAGGAGAAACTCAAGCACTAGCCTGGGGAACAACTCAAAGGTTTACACTGTCTGAGCGATTGAGCTGTGAGGTATGAGGGTTTGATACTGATGTCAAATGGGAGAAACATTCTGATCAGACGGTTAAAGAACAAGAGACATATCAAACATCATGAGGGAAAGAGAGAGAGAGAAAAGCAATAAATATTCCTCTGCTCCCTGCACTGTCAAACTGACTCAGGCTTTCCCACCGCTTTGTGTTTGAGTCTTGAAAATTGTGGGTGAAAGCCTCGCTTCTGACTCCGAGTTCTCAATCGAGGCCAATATTCCAGCGCAGTGCTGGATTGGTGGGGGAGAAAACGCCCACCATATTTCGTAGGATTTGGAGGGCCAGACTGATCACTGGGGGCAGGGAATCATCCTACTCAGCTCCTGTTAACCCTGCAAGCCAAAGCTCTAACGGGTAGGGTGGTCCTATCTGGACAAGCAGCGGGAAAGCTTAACAGGCAGGGCCCTCCAATGGCAAGCTATGTGGTTTTGGCTGGTTGGACTCCAGCAGTTAACCCAACGGACATTCTAGTTTCCCCAAGCCTTGGCTCTTGTCAACCTGTGTCTTAACGCCCTCCAGGATTAGGAAAGCAGGATGTGTCCTTCCGAGAGAGAGTGTATTGCATTTCAGGCACAGAGAAATTTCCATGGTGGTATACATATGTGGGACTCTCGGTCTGGTTTTGATACTCTTAATAATAATAATAATATTATCTTAAGCACGGTGATGGGTTTCCATGATTGCTTTCAGTGATGGGTGGTCAGGCCACATTGTGGAAGCCTGTCCTCTGACTGTGTGGGATCACAGTCATCACTTCACTCGGCACACCTACAGATTACACACTGAGACAGACTCCTTAGCTAACTGAATTACACACTTGCCATCTGTCACTGCCAATTGGTGTGTGACGTTTGCAGAGGTTGGGAGCAGACCCAGGGTTAATAAGGAACTAATATGCTGACTCCATTACTCCTCTCCTGACACAGGCTGTCTTAAGTGATAACTGCTTCAATAAATACATTTATCTGCAACAATAATAATAATCCTTGCATTTGATACCACGCCTTTAACATCAAATATTTTTCTGTGTGATCAGCCGGCTGCCTGATTGTCCAATGGTCCTGGCTGATGATTCCCCAGATGAAATTGGTTGCTCACTTCACAGCTGTTTGTGCGGAGTTGCTGGGCACAAATTGGCTGGCGCATTTGGCTACAAACACACAGTCATTGCACTTTACAGTGTACCCTGTGAAGCATTTTGTGATGTCCTGATGTGAAAACCGCTGAATCAAATGCAAGGATTATTATTGCTATTTACAATAAAGAGGTTTGGAGCCTTTCCAGCAGTAAGCAAATTTCTGTGTTAAAGAATAAAAACTATTCTTCAATGTCCCTTTTGACAAAATTTAATATTGGAAAGTGCAACCCCAGCAGAATAGCGAGCCTGAGCCGTAATTATTGTTAACAATATGAAACAAATTTATATTGATATTAAACATTTACACAGCGCCTTTCACATCAGTCTGAAAGAGCATAGCCTCTCGCTCACGTACTCGCTCCCTTGTGTGTTTGTGGGTGCGGGGGAGGAACTTGGCCACAATGTAATCCCTTTTTACAATCAAACTTCTCATTTTATTATAATAATAATCATAAACCTTGCATTTGATATAGCATCTTATGTTAAGACGTCCCAAAGCGCTTCACAGAATATATTGTAAAGTAAATTGACTGTAAATTTTGTGGGTGAAACGCGGCAGCCAATTGAACACAGACAACAGTATCCCACAGACAGTCATGATTTGCGTGACCAAATTTTTTTGGGGAGGATTATTGTCCCCGGAAAGCGATCTGCCAATCGACTAACAACCGGGTTCCTGCTTACTACTAGGTAAACAGGCATGTGGAGTAAGGAAACTTGCCTAAGGTTTCACCCTGGCCGGGAAATTAATTTGGATCCTCTCACTTGTGAGGTGAGCGCACTAACCACGACATTACAGGATACCACATAATATTGTTTTTACTCATGCTCATCTAGCACCTGGGAGGAAGTGGGGATGGGAGAGAAAATGATAGAGCCCAGAGGAGGGAGGGTGGGGGGGAGAAAATGGTAGGGTCCAGAGCAGGAGGGGGGGAGAAAATGGTGGGGTCTGATATAAGGGTAAACGATGAGAGAGGAAGCATTGATGTGGCCTGTCTTGCCCGAGGAGTCGATGCTTTTTTGGGGTGTGTGAGAGAGAGAGAGCTTCACTAGACAGGGAGCCAAAGCAGAAAACACCAGTCCCCATACAGCAGCGACAGTCCGTAGTGTAGTAGGTGACACACTGGAGGGAGACAAGGGGTCTTTTATTCATCCCAATACAACAGCAACTATTTAATGTGTACACTGCGCCCTTCACGCAGGATAGCGTCTCTGAGATCTATACAGTGGCTGACCACTGAGCGAGGGTCCCGGCCTCCAGTTCAGTCCTTCAGGCTGACATTAGAAATCCTGTGTAAGCGTCTCACTGCCGAGTCAAAGTTATAATAATAATCCTTGCATTTTATAAAGCACCTTATCATGTTGTTGAGACGTCTTAAAGAGCTTCACTGAATATACTATAAAGTGAATTGTCTGTATATTTTGTGGACAAAACTTGGCAGCCAATTGCACACAGCAGTGTCCCACAAACGGTCCCCATGTTGGGATTTTGAAACTATAAAGATTTGCCATCCTTCGGATGAGACAGTAAGCCTTTCCAGGTGGATGTCAAAGATCCCACGGCGCTATTCGGAAGAGAAGGGAGTTTCTCTCAGGGTCCTCTCTGCCCTCCCCCTCCCCCCCTCCCCACTCCCCAGATAAATTTACTGCCTCCAGGGTTGTTTGTGGGATCTTTTTGTGTGCAAATTGGCTATCCGACTGGAGCTCTCTGCTCTAAGGCCCTGCTGTTTTGTCCGAATTCTTCAAGTATTATTCCCTCAAGTACTTATTCTTGGAAACAGGTCACTTATTGTAAAGTGTTCCAGTTTCTAACAAACCTCCACACAATAAAAATTCATCTAACCTTCCCCTTTCTTCTGCCGCTGCTTCTCTGAGGGCAGTAACATCTTTACACTACATCACTTCATCCATTCCCAATGGCAACCACTGACTGACAAGCAGCCACCGTTCTACTGAATAACACTGAGAAGCCGTGCTCAATGCTCAGAGCCTGGCTCAGTCGCTCGCGCTCTCACCTCTGGCTCAGAAGGTTATGGATTCAAGCCCCTCCCCTACAAACCCACAAACACTTCGAAGACTCTGAGTTCACAGTCGAAGCCTCTTTCTGCACTGTACCGTTCAGTGTTCTTTAACCCCTGCCTTTTATAGATTCAGAGCAAGTGCAGCTCAGAAATATGCCATTCAGCACATCCAATCTGGTTGGCGTCTATACTTCACACAAGATTTGCTAATATATATTGATAATCATTGCATTTGATATGGCACCTTATCATATCATTGAGAAACCTCAAAGGGCTGGATAAAATATAATGTAAAGTGGATTAACTGTATTTTGTGGGCGAAATGTGGTAGCCAATTGAGCACAGCAATGTCCCACAAACAGTTGTGGATTGAGTGGCCTAATTTTTTTTGGAAGGATTATTATCCCTGGAATGCGATCCGTCAATCGACTGACAACCTGGTTCCTACTTATTGCTTGGTAAACAGAAGCATGGAGTAAGGAAACCTGCCTAAGGTTTCGCCCTGCCCGGGAATCAAACCGGATCCTCTCACTTGCGAGGCGAGTGCTCTAACCACTATGCAACATCCTATCCTATATCGTATCCCGAGTGATGTATCCCTTACATTTGAAATGCCTTTCACTTCAGGAGGACGTCTCAAAGCGCTTCATAGGTTGTACTGCAAATTGCAGTGAATGGTGAACGCGGCAGCCAATTTGCACGCCACCATGTCCTACAAACAACCATGGAGTGAATCGTTGACTTTATCTGGGGGATTGTAAGCCAAGGCACCTCGAGAAAAACTTCCTGCCCTTTCCAAATAGTGCCGCAGGACCTTTAACCTGGATAGGCAAACAGGACCTCAGTTTAACATCTCATCTGAAGGACGGCGCCTCGGACAATGCAGTGCTCCCCCCAGCACTGCACCAGAGCATCAGTACAGCATTTTTTCTCCAATGCAGCACATGGCAAACTCCATCAAGTCTGCCCCAGCTCTCAGGGAAAGCTGTCCGTTCAATCCCGTTGCCTTGCCCTATCCCCATCCCCTCCCCTCAAGTCTCTTCATATTCCTCTCTACTTCCCTCTCAAAACCACTCACACACACACACAGATACTCACAGACATACCACTCACATATACAGAGAGACGCACACATGCACACAGACGTGCAGAGAGAGAAATGCACACATAAGATTCACAGATATGTACACAGACGTATATACACACATACAGACACTTTCACCATCATGTACAAACACAATCACTGACATATACTGTAGACTGGTTTTCATTGATTCTGATTCTGGCAAAAAAAGTAAATTAAACAAAGCCGATTTATTTATAAAAAGCACCTTAGATAATACCAAACAGAGGCAGAAGTCAGTGATTGTATTGTTGTTGGTGCTGATAAAAGAATAGCGAGGCTGGCTACTATCATTAAATACCACTTTATTTTCCCGTCAGTTAAACCGTCCTCTCAGGGATCAGCCTCTCCATTACAACACAACAGCAGATTAGCAAACACTCCAATCATCCCGTTCCTGTACACCTCACTCCCACAGCACCAGCTGGCCATGGTGCTGAGGAGGGAGAAGGAAAGGTGAGGAGAGGTGAGGAGGGAAGGAGAGTTGAGGGGGGAGGAGAGGGGGGAGAAGAGGTGAGCGGAGAGGGGAGGAGAGATGAGGGGAGAGGTGAGGGGGGAGGAGATATGTGGTGTGGGGGAGGTGAGGGGGCAAGAGAGGTAAGGGGGGAGGAGATGTGTGGCGTGGGGGGAGGAGGAGGTTGGTTGGAAGAAAAGGATAAACCTTATGGAAAAGCTAAGTTTTCTCTGGGAAGGAGAAGGTTGGGACACGATCTCTGTGTCAGGCAGCCTGAGAGAAGGTTGTACAGAATTCTCTAGCAGTGTTTGAATTTAAATATTCTCCTCATTTTCCTCTGAGGAGAGAAATGTTCAGCAAGATGAGCAGGAGCTGGCTCCGCAATTCATTTGTATTCAGGGGAATCAGCAACTGCAGCATTTTATTTTCAATGTTCCCTTTCAATCCGCTCTCCCTCAGTCCTTCTCTTTTTCTTTCTTTGTTCTCTCTCCTCTTCTTTTTTTGTTCCTTTCCTCTTTCCTTCCTTTCGTCCATAAAATATAGTCAATTCACTTTACAGTATATTCTGTGAAGCGCTTTGAGATGTCTCGAAGGCGTAATAACGTCGCAACGTCAAATGCAAAGATTATATTTATTCCTTCTCCCCTTTCCTTCCCAAATAGTCCGAGATATACAATAAAAACACAAGACAGTTGTGGGTGATCGAAGTGTTAGCGTAGACAATGAGCTCAAATTCCCCGACATGGAGCTTGAACCCACAATGACCAAGACTGAATTGAGCAATTTTAAGTCAGAAGGTGAATTCAAACCCTACATCTCCACTTTGTCTTCAGGAGTGGCTTCACCTCTAGCCCCCGCACTCTCTCGTATGGCGTTCCTCAGGGCTGTGTACTCTCCTCTTCAATATCTATACACTCCCTCTTGGTGACATTATCTGCAGACATGGGGTCAACTTCCACATGTATACGGGTGATTGTATCTCTCTGCCTCCACCCTTGACTCCAGGTCCACTGCTGTCCTGACAAATGTCTGTCAGACATCAAGTCCTGGATGAGAGCTAACTTTCTACAAGACTGAGACCCTCCTGATTGGCTCCTGACAGCGCCTCCTCACCTCGGGCACTGACAGCATTACCATCCATGGTTGCACACTCCATCTTACTAAGCCAGTCCAGAACCTTGGCGTCTTGTTTCACCCTCATCTGTCCTTTTCCCCTACATCCATGCCATGACCCCTCTGCCTTCCTCCACCTCCGCAACATCTCCCATCTCCGTCACTGCCTCACCCCTCAGGCTGCCGAAACCGTGCTCGACTGTGCCAACTCCCTGCTTGTCAGCCTTCCCAACTCTTTCCTCTAAAAGCTGCAGATCATCCAGAACTCTGCAGCTCGTGTCCTCTCCCGCAATAGGCTCCGTGACCCCATCATCCCCACTCTCATCCAGGTCCGCTGGTTCCCCATCCCCCAGAGGAGAGAGTTCAAAATCCTCGCCCTTGCCTTTAAAGCCGTCCACTGCCTTGCTCTGTGATCTGCTAACCCCATATCAACCTATCCGCTCCCTCCGTTCAGCAGGCTCAGGCCTGCTCCACGTCTCCCACCCGGCCTGCCATCAGCGGTCGGGCCTTCAGCTTCTCTGCCACCATCCTTTGGCCTCCTTCCCACATTCCCTTTGCCTCACTCCCTCCCTCCCTTGCTTTCTCCAAGGCATGTCTCTAGACCTTCTTCTTCGGCCACCCTGTTACTCCTATCCTCGCTGCCCTCCACCCTCCTGATTCCAACATCCAGCTCAGGTCCAAATCCTTGACAGTCCAGAGCCTTGGGACATCCTCCCAGTGGAAATGGCGCTATACATATGTAATTTGTTGTTGTTGAGTCTCAGTTGGGGTGGGGAGGTTATGTTGGAGTTTCTATGTATTGTTTTTGTGTGTATTTGTGGAGGGGAAGGAGGAGATATCTCAAGAATTCTCAGGAGAACACCAGGAGAGAGAAACTTCCTTTTCCTTTCCAATAGAATTACGAGATTGTTAACATCCGCCTGAACAGAGCACAGATGGGACCTCGGTTCAACAACAACAACAGTAAAATGACATTTGTAAAGCGCCTTTCATATCGGGAGGATGTCCCAAGGCGCTGGACATTCAGTGTTTCGGACCCGAGCTGGGGGTCAGGAACGGGGAGGGTGGAGGGAAGTGGGGGAAGGAGGGTGATCAAAGGCACGGTTGAAGAGGAAGATTTTGAGACAGTGTTGAAGGAGGCAAGGGAGGGGGTGAGGCATAGCGATTGCGGGATGGAGTTCCAGAGCATGGGGGCAGAGTGGCTGAAGGCCCACCCGCCAATGATGGGGCGAGCGAGGCAGGGGACGTGAAGCAGGCCGGAGCCCGCTGAGCGAAGAGAGCAGAGTTAGGGGAGAGCAAGGCTTTGAAGGTGAGGAACAGGATCTTGAATTGCATCCTCTGTGTAATGGGAAGAACCACAACAAGTTGCACTTATTTAGTGCTTCCAAGCAGGGTTGCATCTCAGAGTGCTTAACAGTGGCGGAGTCTGACTCCGAGCTGGGGTGGGGTGGTGGGTCGTGGGGGGAAGGTGGGCGTAAGCACGGTCGAAGAGGAAAGTTTTCAGCCAGGACTTGAAAAGGGAAACTTGAAAGATAGTGGAGTCGGGCGAGGAAGTGGGTGATAGGTTCATGTGATATCAGCCGCACAATAGAAATCTTTAATAATTTATGAGTTTGCATTTCTTCACAAGACCTCCCTGTTCACCTCATTGTCTGTGTAATTATTGTTCAATTTATTTTGCAATAGGTTTACACAATTTAATCTTGTTTTTCCTGCTTCAAATTCATAAGATTGTGCTCCCGGGCCCAGCACATATTAATCTCTGACTAAGTGATGCCCGTGTAAGGTCTTTTTTTTCCCTACACCTTTGTATTGACGCCAATTATAACATTATGTAGAGGAAGGACTCTTAACAGGTGAAAGGGGCTAATTATTCAACAAAGGAAATTGAGGCCATGACGCTGGGTCTTGCTTGGGAATTAGCCGGTCTCTTTGACAGGTGAATGAGAAGGATAACATAGGAACATAAGAATTTGCTCGATGAAAGACCAGGATCCATCCAGTTCGCCTTCCGCCATCCTGGCAGTCGCACGCACATGTCACGTCCCAAACTACATACTGAATGCCAAGATATTATTTTCTAAAAGAAATCTATCTAATTTGTTGTTGAAAGAATCCACACTTTCTGCTTCCACTGTCCCCCTAGGGAGCCTTTTCCATACGTTTACTGGTCGCTCGTTGAAGTAGTGTTTCCGCAGATTTGTTCTGAACTTACCCCCACTTCAATCGCAGGTCGTGTCCTCTGGTTCTGGACAAGATAAAACAGTTATCATGGTCTACTTTATCCCTTTAGTCCCTTTAGAAACTTAAGAAATGCTATCATACCACCTCTCAACCTTCTCAGCATGAACATGCCCAGATGGATGAGATGAGATCAATGATTTTTCACTGTATTGTGTGATAGTCTGATCCATCTGCTCTCGCCCTCTCCCTCCCACTCGCGTAACTAACCCTAGATTGTTTGCCGTTGCACAGAACAAGGTTTTCATTTACCGAGGCAAAGAGTACGAGAGGCGCGAGGACTTCGAGTTGCAGCTCATGATGCAGTTCCCGAACGCTGAGAAAATGAAAACAACATCGCCTCCGGGGGTGGATCTCAGGAGTGGCCCAGGACAATGTATCCTTCCTCTCCATTTTGCTTTTATAAAATAGTTTGTGTGTCAGCCGCGCTCAGTTGATAGCACTCTCACTACTAATGATTTCCAAGTCTCCCACTTCAGTACTTGGACTCAAATAGTCCAGGTTGATGCAGTGGGAAAGGGAAGGGGGCCCTGTTGGCGGAGGTGCCGTCCTTTCCGAAGAGACGTTAAACAGAAGTCCCGTCCACGTGTTCAGGTGGATGTTAAAGATCCCGCAGCGCTATTCCTCGGCACTGGAGCATCACTGCCCCCTGCTGGTTGGTTACCTTTACTGTCGTTCACAGTCATTCAGTGCTTCACTCTCCCAGTGTCCTGGCCACGAATTCCCCAGATAAAATGATTTACTCATTTCATGGTTATTTGCGGGATGTTGCTGGGTGCAAATTGGCTGCTGAGTTTGCCTACAAAATGCAGGCACTACACTTTACAGAAAACCCTGAGTAGCTCTTTCAAATTCTTCCCATCATGAAAGGCCCTGTATCAAATGTAAGAATTATTATTATTCAATTTACATTCACACAGCGCCTTTCACATCAGAAGGGCATCTCAAAGTGATTCACCTGCATAAGGAGGGGGATGGGGGGATGGGGAAGGGTAAAGATGAACAAAACAACAGTCTTGAGGTAGAACTTGAATGGAGGAAGGCAGGTAGAGAAGCAGAGGGACTCTGGGAGGAAGCTCTCGTATTGTTGGAGCTCCCTCGCTGTATCAAATCCCCTTTGGCTTGAAGGTTAATAGGAGCTGAGTGGGAGGATTCCCTGCCCCCAGTGACTGCTCTGCCCATCCAAGACCTGCCGATGAGCCGGGCTGGGCTGGGCTGGGCTGTCATCAGCAGTGCCCTGGAATACTGCCGATCCACCACTAAAGACCCACACAGATGATGGACTGGATTCCGACATTCTATGGCCAAACATGTCACATTGGAGCCAGTTCATCTCCGAGACCGCGCTCACCTTCCACCACCTCCGTCGGATGGGTAGAGGAGGTGGTGAGACATGTTTCTGCACTGGGGAATGGTCTGCCTGGAGCATCACTGCCCCCTGCTGGTTGGTTACCTTTACTGTCGTTCACAGTCATTCAGTGCTTCACCGTCCAGCCCGTCCAGGAGGAACCGAGCAAATTCCACAACAAAAATGTTCCAGAACAGATTGTCAAGTAGGTCACTCAACAACAACAACATGCACTTATGTAGCGCCCTCCATGCAGAGTAGCGTCTCAGAGTGCTCGGCAACCACTACGCACACAAGACCTGCATGGAAATGCAAATTGGGGGATGTCAGGGGATGTGGGGGTTGGATGTGTGGGGGGGTTTGTGGTATTGAGAGTATGGGTGGGGGTTGGGTTGGGGGTGGGGGTGTTGGGGGAGTTGGGTTTGGGGTGGGGGTGTTGGGGGAGTTGGGTTTGGGGTTGGGGTGTTGGGGAGTTGGGTTTGGGGTGGGGGTGTTGGGGGAGTTGGGTTTGGGGTGGGGGTGGGTTGGGGGAGTTGGGTTTGGGGTGGGGGGTTGGGGGAGTTGGGTTTGGGTGGGGTGTTGGGGGAGTTGGGTTTGGGGTGGGGGGTTGGGGAGTTGGGTTTGGGGTGGGGGTTGGGGGAGTTGGGTTTGGGGTGGAGGTGTTGGGGGAGTTGGGTTTGGGTGGGGGTGTGGGGGAGTTGGGTTTGGGGTGGGGGTGTTGGGGTGGGGTGGTTGGGGGAGTTGGGTTTGGGGTGGGGGGTTGGGGGAGTTGGGTTTGGGGTGGGGGGTTGGGTTGGGGGTGTGGGGGAGTTGGGTTTGGGGTGGGGGGGTTAGGTTGGGGGTGTGGGGGTGTTGTGGGGTTGGGTTTGGGGTTGGGGTGTTGGGGAGTTGGGTTTGGGGTGGGGGGGTTGGGGGAGTTGGGTTTGGGTGGGGGTGTTGGGGGAGTTGGGTTTGGGGTGGGGGGTTTGGGGTGGGTTTGGGGTGGGGGTGTTGGGGGGGTTGGGTTTGGGGTGGGGGGGTTTGGGGGTTGGGTTTGGGTGTGGGGTGTGGGGGGGGTTGGGTTTGGGGTGGGGGTGTTGGGGGGTTGGTTTGGGTGGGGGTGTTGGGGGGTTGGGTTTGGGGTGGGGGTTGGGGGGTTGGGTTTGGGGTGGGGTGTTGGGGGGTTGGGTTTGGGGTTGGTGTTGGGGTTGGGTTTGGGTGGGGTGTTGGGGGGTTGGTTTGGGGGTGGGGTGTTGGGGAGTTGGGTTTGGGTGGGGGTTGGGAGTTGGGTTTGTGGGTGGGGGTTGGGTGGGTGGTTGGGGGTTGGGTTTGGGGTGGGGGTGTTGGGGGGTTGGGTTTGGGGTGGGGTGTTGGGGGGGTTGGGTTTGGGGTGGGGGTGTTGGGGGGGTTGGGTTTGGGGTGGGGGTGTTGGGGGGGTTGGGTTTGGGGTGGGGGTGTTGGGGGGGTTGGTTTAGGGCTGTCACCCACTCACTTTGTTTCCGCAGCTTTTTCAAAGCCAACAATGTGGTGAAGTTCAGTTACTCTCGGCCGGTGAGGAAAGGAGAGAAAGACCCAGAGAACGAGTTTGCTGTGAGTGACTGTAACTGTCACAGTGTCACAGTGTGTGTACACACTCACTGACACACTCACTGACAACTCACCGACACACTCACTGACACACAATGGCGCACACTGACACATACTGACACACTGATACATACATACTCTTGTCTTGACACTCACACTGACACACTCACACTGACACACTCACACTGACACACTCACACTGACACACACTGACACTCACACTGACACACTGACTACACACTCACACTGTCACACTCACACTGACACACTCACACTGACACACTCACACTGACACTCACACTGACACACTCACACTGACACTCACACTGACACACTCACACTGACACTCACACTGACACACTCACACTGACACTCACACTGACACACTCACACTGACACACTCACACTGACACACTCACACTGACACTGTAACAATGACCTGGTAACACTGACACTCACACTGACACACTCACACTGACACACTCACACTGACACACTCACACTGACACACTCACACTGACACACTCACACTGACACTCACACTGACACACTCACACTGACACTCACACTGACACTCAACACTGACACTCACACTGACACACTCACACTGACACTCACACTGACACACTCACACTGACACACTCACACTGACACTCACACTGACACACTCACACTGACACTCACACTGACACACTCACACTGACACACTCACACTGACACTCACACTGACACACTCACACTGACACACTCACACTGACACTCACACTGACACACTCACACTGACACACTCACACTGACACTCACACTGACACACTCACACTGACACACTCACACTGACACTCACACTGACACACTCACACTGACACACTCACACTGACACTCACACTGACACACTCACACTGACACTCACACTGACACACTCACACTGACACACTCACACTGACACTCACACTGACACTCACACTGACACACTCACACTGACACATACACTGACACTGACACTCACACTGACACACTCACACTGACACACTCACACTGACACTCACACTGACACACTCACACTGACACTCACACTGACACACTCACACTGACACACTCACACTGACACTCACACTGACACACTCACACTGATTCTCACACTGACACTGTAACAATGACCTGGTAACACTGACACACACTCACACTGACACACACTCACACTGACACACACTCACACTGACACACACTCACACTGACACACTCACAAGATGGAGTGATTGAGAAAGGGAATCCGTCGTTTCGGGGAATAGTGGCTCACCTACTCCAAAAAGTCTATGAGGATCATCAGACAATAACTGAAACCCCCTCTGAACTCATGTTGACCATAATTTTTAGATTATTTTTATATCTGATAATCGATTACATCATTTTTCCATCTTTTGAGGTCAGGCTCAATAAATGTTTAAAGTTGCCAGGTTTAGTTCTGACTAGACATTATAGGCTGTATAAAATACATGGATTATTGTTATGATATGATGTGTGTAACAAGCCATTTGTCTGTCAGTCAGTGTCAGTCTGGCTCAGGCGGTAGAACTCTCGCCTTTGAATCAGAAAGTTATGGGATCAAACGGGCCTTGGAACTCATATAGTCTATGCTGCCAAACCATGCCATGCGAGGGGTGTGCTGCATTATTGGAGGTGCTGTCCTCCAGGAAGCTACCCCACATGAAGGGCACTATAAATTCAGGTTGTTGTTGTCCTTCAGGTGCGACGTTTAAACCGAGCCTGTTTAGGTGGATATTAAAGATCCTGCAGCACTATTCGAAAAGAGAAGGGAGTTTCTCTCTCCCAGTGTCCTGGCTGACAATGCCCCTAATAAAAACAGTCACTCACTCCATGGCTGTTTGAGAAACGTTGCTGTGTGCAAATTGGCTGCCATGTTTCCTACAAAATACAGTCCACAACACTATACAGTAAATTCCTGTGAAGCGCTTTGTGAGTCTCTAGTCCTAATGTGATGAAGTGCTATAGTGAATGCCAGGATTATTTTTATTATTATTATTAGCTGCTGTCTTGTCTCCTTACGGGTTGGGAGGCAACATGAACCACTGTGTTCATCTGGTAATTATTTTATTTTTCCTCCTCCGCAGTCGATGTGGATCGAAAGGATAACTTTTGTCACGGGGTACAAGCTGCCAGGTATCCTGCGCTGGTTCGAGGCTGTCCACATGTCCATGGTGAGGGTTCCATTCATCCGGTGTCTGACACACACAGAAACCCTGTAGCTCAGTGGTTAAACCACTCACTTTGCAAGCGAGAGACCTGGGTTCAAATACCGGCAGGCGAAACCTTGGGCAAGTTTCCTTACTCCACACACCTGATAATAATCCCTCAAAAAAACCCAATAATAAATTGGTCATTTCAATCCACAACTGTTTGTGGGACACTGCAATTGACTGCCGTGTTTTGCCCACAAAAATACAGTCAATTCACTCGACAGTCCATTCTGTGAAGCGCTTTGAGACATTGAGAAGACGTGAAAAGCGCTACGTCAAATGCAAGGATTATTATTATTATTATAAACCCATCACTGTGATCAGCCAGGTGTCTGACACACACAAAAAACCATCACCACGATCAGCCACATGTCTGACACACACAGAAACCCATCACTGTGAACAGCCGGGTATCTGACACACAGAAAAAAACATCACTGTGATCAGCTGGGTGTCTGACACACCGAGATATCACCCTGAAATCGCCCAGATAAAATCAGTCATTCATTTGGTGGCTTTTTGTGGGACGTTGCTGTGTGAAATTGGCTGTTGGGTTTGCCTACAATATCCTGAGTCACTACACAGCGATTGCTTTTTGGGATTACTCATTTGTTGATCTGGTTGACTAGCTGTTCGGTTGGTGATTTGATCGGTTTGTCGATTGTTCAATTGACTGGTTGCTTGGTTGGTCAGCTTGTGGGTTGTTCAGTTGATCGGTTGGTCAATTGATTGATCGATGATCAATTGATCGATGTCTTTCTTTTGCACAGTGTGAAATCAGCCCCCTGGAGAATGCCATTGAGACGATGCAAAAAACAAACAACAAGATACTCGCGATGATAAACCAGCACCACACCGATCCTAGCCTCTCCATCAACCCTCTCTCCATGCTGCTCAATGGTATTGTGGACCCCGCTGTGATGGGGGGCTTTGCAAAGTACGAGACGGTGAGTCCCACACACAGGACATGATCGACACAGTTCATGAGGAATGGAGAGGGATTCAGGGAAAAGACCCTTCTGCCCATCTGATCTTTTCCTTCCAGATTCCTGCCTGACCATCCTCCCAGTATCCCAGCTCTGGTAATCCTGTTCCAGTCACTGGCTTCACCATTCACATATTTCTGCTCATTCAACATCCACTAGTCTCCATCATCACCCCTCCCCCAGCCCCATCCTCGCCAGGCTTCTCTGGCTCCCAATGGATCAACTTCAAGCTCTTCGCTCTCATCTATAAATCCCTTCTTGCCCTAGCACCTCCCTATCTCGCCAAACTCTGTTGGTAGGGCATCTCAAAGCACCTCAAAGGATTTACTGTAAAGAATACTAACTGAGTATTTTGTGGGCGAACTCAGCTGCTAGGAATCCTGCGCTGGTTCGAGGCTATTTACATTTCCATGGTGAGGATTCCATTCATCCAATGTCTGACACACGCAGACAGCTGATCACAGTGATCAGCCGGGTGTCTGATATACACAGAAATCCATCACAGTGACCAGAAGGGGGCCAAGGCACTGGGAGAGAGAAACTCCCTTCTTTTTTCAAATAGCGCCACGGAGGTGATAACAATGTGGAGTCTATTCCAAATCAGGAAGTTCTGTCACTTAATTGGTCATCCTGCCAGTCCTGGGAGAGGGTCTTTGTAAAGCACTGTGTTCTCCTCACACCCAGGCGTTCTTCACCGAGGCCTACATGAGCACACACCCAAAGGACATGGACAACATCACCAAGCTGAAGGATCTGATAGCATGGCAGGTAGGAGCCCTCCAGCCAGCTCCACACCCCAACAGCACAGGCTTTGGAGGACAGTGAAGAACATTTTGTTCATAATAAAAATATATAGTGTCTTCCTCCCTCCCTCCCTCCCTCCTTCCCTCCTTTCTTCCTTCCTTCCTTCCTTCCTTTCTGTCGGTTTGTCTGTCTGTCTCTCAGCACCTTGGGAAATCCTCCCAACGTGAAAGGCGCTATACAAATGTAATTTTGTTGTTGTTGTTCCTACGTCTCTTTCAGCTTCCTCTGCTGGCCGAGGGCATCAGGATCCATGGAAAGAAAGTTCCGGAAACTCTCCGTCCCTTCCATGAACGAATGGAGGAATGCTTCGCTCAGCTCCGGGTTAAGGTGGAAAGTCAGTACGGGGTGCGGGACTTGGTGAGTCCCTCTCAGAAAGCAAGCGTGAGAAAAAGGGGATCAAGGTCCGCAGTATTCCAGGGCACTGCTGATGACAGCACAGCCCAGCCTGGCTGATCAGTAGACTTGGAAGGGCAGACCAGTCACTGGGGGCAGGGAGTCATCCCACTCAGCTCCTGTTAACCCTGCAAGGCAAAGTCTTAACGGTGATTCTAGCTGAACAAGCAGTGGGAAAACTTAACAGGCAGTGCCCTCCAATGGCAAGCTATGTGATTTTAGCTGGATAGACTCCAGCACTTACCCCACAACCCACATTCTGGGGTCCCTAAGCCTTGGTTCTTGCCAACCTGCACCTGATACTCTCTGGAATTAGGAAAGCAGGATGTGTCCCTCCAGGGAGACATAGATTGCACATTCCATTCCAGATACAGGGAAATTTCCACGTGTAGATGACACACATATGTGGAAATCTCAGTTTGGTTTGGGTACTCTTAAGCATGGTGATGGGTTTCCGTGTGTCAGACACCTGACTGACAAAAAAAAACTTTCCATTGACGTCCTGTAATGAGACATTAAACAGTGGAACTTCCTGCCTTAATCCCTCCATTTTGGCCCCTCCTTAACCATCTTCAGGTCACACCTGGAGATCTATGATTATGTCTACAAACCTCTTTCCCTAGTTCAGCATCAGGCTCTGCCACTATTAAATGCTCTGAGATGCAAACCTGTGTGATGGATGCTACATAAATGCACGTTGTTATTGTAAGCCAAAGTGCAGCTGTCTATGTAACTATGTGGGTGAAAGTATTACCAGTGTGAGCTCTTACTCTCTTCCAGATGATTTTTGAAGAGCAACGAGGAGGGGGAGGAAGGCCTCGCTCCATGGTCCGATCATTCCGCCCGCTCTCCATCATCTCGTCCAGCTCGCTCAGCTCCACCAGCTCTGACAAAGAGACCCCTCGAGGCACAGAGGCCAGGTGAGGGACCTCTCTCCAACCCCACCCGGGACATCATTCTCTGAGTCAGGAGGTTGTGGATTTGAGCCCCATTTTGAGCTCGCAGCCTAGACTGAACTCCATTGCATTGTAGGGGAGAGCACTGCATTGTCAAAGGCAATGTCCTTTGGATGAGATGTTAAAGATCCTGTGGCGCTTTTGGTAAAGAGAAGGGAGGTTTTCCTCTCCCGATGTCCTGGCTAACATTCCCCCAGATAAAATGGGTCATTCACCTCACATCTGTTGTGGAAATTTCTGTGCACCATCTTGGCTGCCGTGTTCTCCCATGTGCTAATCGGCACCTGTGAGCCTCTATCTGTGCGCTGACATTCCATTCAGATTTTCAAGATGGATCTGGATAGATATTAAGATTAGGGTATCAAGAGATATGGGGCAAAGGAGGGTAATTGAAGTTGAGGTACAGATCTTATAAAATGGCGGAATAGGTTCAAGGGGCTGAATGGCCTCCTCCTGTTCCTATGTTCCTGATTTTCTTCCCGTTACCGGGATTTTCTAGCCTGGAGCCCCCACTGCCCAAGAAGACCTCACTGCGCTCCCAGGACAAGCTTGGGGACGGGACACCTAGAGACACCGAAGATAAGAAGACGGCGAAGAAGAGCAACCGGACCAGCGGGCTGTTCGGCCTAAAGAAGTCATCAGTCTCAATCCCTTCCCCAGAGGTCAGTCACTGCCTGCCTCGAGGGGGGTTGAGGGGAGAAAGGGCGTCCAACTGATGCTGAACTCTGCCACCCGTATTCTCAGCCCTAACACCCCTCCTTCCCAAGCTCTGTTGCAGAAAGGATCGATTTCAAGATTCTCACACTTACATTTGGGGCAAGGATACCGGGAGAGAAACTATATATAATCATTAACTATTTGTTTTGTTTTTCATTCAGGAGCCATCCAAGCCCTCGGCAATTGGGAGTGATGCTGACCTAGCGGAGGACAATACGGAACAATCCTCCAGGGACCAGGGCTCAGGTGACCCCGTGATCATGACCTTACGGAACTTTACGTGTCAGAACTTTGTATGCCTCTCTGGCTCTCTCTCGCCTCTGAGGCGAAGCTTGTGGGTTCAAGCCCCCAACTTCAGGACTTTGAACTCATATAGGACTCCATTGCAGTGCTGGGGGAGGGGTCGCTGCATTGTCACGGGTGCTGAGATATTAGATGTTAAACCAGGTATTACTGTGAAGTGTAGTGATTGAGTATTTTGTAGGTGAATGTGGCAGCCAATTTGCGCACAGCAACATCCCACAAACATCTATGAAGTGAGTGACCGATTTTATCTGAGGGACACCGGGAGAGAGAAACTCCCTTCTCTTTTCAAGTAGCGCCGTGGGATATGTAACATCCATCTAAACACAGACAGGGCCTGGGTTTACATCTCAACTGAAGGACGGTGCTTCTGACAATGCAGAGCTCCCCTCCCAGCACTGCACTGAACTGCTAGAGCGTCAGCCTAGACTGTGAGCTGAAAGTCCCAACATAAGGCCTTGAACCCACAACCTTCTGGCTCAGAGGCGACTGAGCCAGCCGCACACCCCAATTTCTTCCAGGTTCCCAATTTCATCTTGAAAATTCCAAGGACTTGCAGTGTAATTGGGGGGGGGGGACAAGAGGAGGGGGATAGAGGAAAAGAGGATAAATTGTGTTTGTAAAATTGCCTGTTAGGTTTGTTCAGTTGCGCTCTTTAACCCTTTGCCGTCTGCTGCTCTAATAGGTCAGCCAGCCACTGTGATAAACGGGTTCGGTGGTCAGATCCGGAGCTCCCGGCCCCCTCCTCTGCCCAAGAAGATCAGCCCCATCCTGTACGAGAGCTTCAGCCAGGAGCAGGCGGATTCCTTGAGCCCGCTCGGAAGACAGGGCTCTGGGAGACGCTCATCACTGAGCACGGTGAGTCACAGGGGGGGATCCTGACACGACAGGACAAGAGCCAGCCGTTAAATGGGACCTGACCTCAACCTCTCCCTTCCCCCATTCCAGCCGTTAGTTCCCCTCCAGAAAAATAAATACGTCCTTGTGTCTGCCCTGAAATTACCCCTCACAACCCCGCAGCCTACTCTGTCACAGGTGTGTGTGCAGTGATTCTTCCCACCTGGCTCCTGTCAACCGTGCAAACCAAAGGCATCCTGTGCCTACTACTCTCCGGAATTATAAAAGCGGGGTGCATCCCTCCAAAGAGAGAATGTGCATTCCATTCCAGATTTGGGGAAATTTCCATGTATAGCTGTCAAAAGCTCATGTGGAACTCTCAGTCTGGTTTGGCGACCCTTAAGCAAAGCAATGGGTCAGATGACCCATCTGACAAAATAAAAATCTCTGGGAAGAATGAGCTTGAATTAAGTCTTCATCCGAACCAATCTTCATGACTCCGGGATCCTCACTGTTTCTCTTCCTTCGCTAGGTGGCCAGCCAGGGGGCCCCAGAGGCCACCAAGGGCCGGAAGTCATCCCCTCCTCGTCCACCGCCAAAGAACAAGAGACAGACACAGCCCCCACAGAGCTGACTGCCCCCCCTCACCACCAGCAACAACACCGTGGGACAGTGAACAGGACGGCAGCCAGGCACTGGGTGTGATGTCGCATTGCCTGGCGATGTGGCATTGCCTGGCGATGTGGCATTGCCTGGCGATGTGGCATTGCCTGGCGATGTGGCATTGCCTGGCGATGTGGCATTGCCTGGCGATGTGGCATTGCCCGGCGATGTCGCATTGCCTGGCGATGTCGCATTGCCCGGCGATGTCGCATTGCCTGGCGATGTGGCATTGCCTGGCGATGTCGCATTGCCTGGCGATGTGGCATTGCCTGATGACATCAGATTGCCCAGTGATGTCACATTGTTTGGTGATGTCAGGTTCTCCAGCGATAACGTTGAGGGAGGGTGGGAGGGGAAAATAGAAATGGGAGGGGCAGTATACTTTTTTAATGCCATTACCTTGTATTAAAACAATCTTATCAATAAGAATCCATTTTTGCACAAAGATGTTGGTTGTTTTTCTTTCTCTCCCTGCGTGCCGGCCAACTTCACGCTAAAATGGTCATCAGGTCGCCACCGACCACTTCCTGCTTTGCTGCGCATATGCTCACCTCTGAGTCAGAAGGTTGTGGGTTCAAGCCCCCAAGTTAGGACTTGGGAGTCACTTCACCTAAGCTGTCACTCCAATGCAGTGGGAGGAGCGCTGCATTCATAGCGGTGCCGACCTTTGAAATAAGATGTTAAACCAAGGTCCCATCTGTGCCTGTTCAGGTGACATCCTGCTGCACTATCAGGAAAGAGAAGGGAGTTTCTCTCTCCTGGTGTCTCTGACCAACAATCCCCCAGATAAAATAGTTCATTCACTTCAAGGCTGTTTGGGGGATGTTGCTGTGCACAAATTGGCTGCCACATTTCCCTGCAAAATGCACAGTCGCGATACTTTACAGTAAATTTTATGAAGTGCTTTGAGACCTCTTCCCGATGGGTGAAAAGGCACTGTATCAAATTAATCACAAAATGGTGCAGTGTTAGGAATTAGCCACAAGGCGGCAGTGGTCGGTTGACCACACAAGAGATTCAGAATGTTGGATGTAGTTTGGCTCCACCAGGAATGCTGCAGGTCACTGAGCTCAGTGGTCAAACAATAATAATAATAATCCTTGCATTTGATATAACGCCCATAGCACCCCACCCCCCCCCCCCCCCCCCCCCCCCCCCCCCCCCCCCCCCCCCCCCCCCCCCCCCCCCCCCCCCCCCCCCCCCCTCCCCCCCCCCCCCCCCCCCCCCCCCCCCCCCCCCCCCCCCCCCCCCCCCCCCCCCCCCCCCCCCCCCCCCCCCCCCCCCCCCCCCCCCCCCCCCCCCCCCCCCCCCCCCCCCCCCCCCCCCCCCCCCCCCCCCCCCCCCCCCCCCCCCCCCCCCCCCCCCCCCCCCCCCCCCCCCCCCCCCCCCCCCCCCCCCCCCCCCCCCCCCCCCCCCGTCCCTTCGCCCCACCCAGGCACCCATCCCCTGCCCGCCGCCTCCCCCTCCTCCAGCCGGCTCAAACCTTCTCTACCTCCTTCAGCCCCCCACCTCCCTCCCCTCGCTCCCTCCCCCCCCCTCACCCTACACCCCCCCCTCCCCCCTCCCTCAAAGCTTAAATCCCCTCGTCTGAGGGGACGTTAAAGTCATATTGCAAAGATGTAACAAAGAACCTGTGGCCAACAATCTCCCAGATAAAATCCTCCACTCACTTCATGGCTGTTTGTGGGGATGTTGCTATGTGCAAATTAGTTGCCGCATTCACCCACACAAACAGCCATCACACTTTAGTTACAGCAATTCCCTGTGACATGCTTTAAGATGTTTGGGCATTATACAGCTGCGATATTAAATGCAAGGATTGCCTCCACAAAACCTTTTTCCACTCTGCACATTCCTAGGTTTTTTTTGTAGGGCGTTTCTGTGTAAAAATTAGCTGCTGTGTTCAGCTACAAAATTCTGTGTGCAAATTAGCTGCTGTGTTCAGCTACAAAATAGAGTCAGGCCACTCTACAGTAATTACCATGAAGCACTTTGAGATGTTTTGATGCGATAAGGTGCTGTGTATAAATGCTCGGATTGTTTTATTGTGAGTTTTGTGTGGTTTGGCTGGTCACCAAGACTAATACAAAGGGTGAATGGGTGCGGGTTTGCACTGGCTGAATTTTTGGTGACTTGGCAGTGTCTGTCTGGACAATATGACCCGTTCAGAGACAAAGGTTGGACAGAAAGCACAGAGAGCGGAGCGCAGAGCAGTGTCAGCCCCGCACAGCTCCCGCCACACCAGACTGAGGGTCTCTCTGTTCCCGCTGCATGGTCACACAATCTTTATTTATTATGTTTACAGTCTTATCATTGGCCTAATAATCCTTGGGTTTAACACACCGCCTTATGAGCCTGGCGAGCATTGGGGTAACTGCTGGAATCTAACCAGCTAAAACTGCATAACTTTCCATTAAGAGCACTGTCTGGCAAGGTTTCCCGCTGCTTGTCCAGCTTGGACCAACCTAACCATTAGGGCTTTGGCTTAAAGGGTTAACAGTAGCTGAGTGAGAGGATTCCCTGCCCCCATTGACTTGTGTATGTGTCCCCTAATGGTGCCATTTAAATTGACTCTTGGATCAAAAATGTGACCAATACTCTTTATTATTATTTATTATTGAAGCAAAAATATCTACAAATACTTTAGTCAAAGGTATGTTTTCTCAGTCAAGAGTTGGTACTTTTCTCATATTGATGGTGAGACGGAGTGTTACAGCTTAAAAGTTCAGCCTAGTGTGTGTGTGTGTGTGTGTGTGTGCCACTCTTCCATTTTCCTAAATCACTTTTTTTTAATACATTGATCCCACTTCCCAGTTCTCTCCCACATCCCTTCCTGGTATTTTTCCAGACATGGCCCTGTGCAACTCTCAAGATTGGGTCAGATCATAGAATCATAGAATTATACAGCACAGAATGAAACCATTCGGCCCATCGTGTCTGTGCCGGCTCTTTAGAAAGAGCTATCCAAATCAATCCCACTCCCCCGCTCTCTCCCCATAGCCCTGCAAACTTGTCCTCCCCACGTATGGATCTATTTCTCTCTTAAAAGCTGTTATCGAATCATCTTCCACCACCTTTTCAGACAATGCATTCCAGATCCAAACTCGCTTTGCGAAAAAATTTCTCCTCGCCTACCCTGTGTTTCTTTTAACAACTATAATAAATCGGTGCCCTCAGGTTACCGACAAACCCACCAGTGGAAATAGTTTCTCCTTAGTCACCTAACAAATAGATCAAAAACAGCAGTGGTCCCAATACCAACCCCTGGAGGACACTACTGCACACTTCCCTCCAATCAAAAAAACAACTGCTCACCACCACTCTGCTTTCTGTCTCCCAGCCAGTTCTGTATCTATGCTGCCACTGTCCCTTTAATACCGTGGGCTTCTATTTTGCTTACAAGTCTCTTATGTGGCACTTTATCAAACGCCTTTTGAAAATCTATATAAACTACACTAACTGCACTACCTTCATCCACCCTCTCTGTTACTTCATCAAAAAACCATGGTGGTCAGACACAATTTGCCTTTAACAAAACTTGTGTTGGCTTTCCTTTATTAACCCATATTTTTCTAAGTGAAAATTTATTTTGTCCCGCATTATAGTCTCTAGAAGTTTCCCGACTACTGACGGTAGGCTGACCGGCCTGTAGTTCCCAGGTTTATCCTTCTGCCCCTTTTTCTACAGGGGAGTAACAGATGAAGAATCATCCGATCCCATCTCTCCGGAACACCCGTTCTACCGTCCCCTATCAAGCTGCTTTTTAATGAGTCCCAGTATCTTGGCCACAACTACTCTTTCTGGCAACCTGGTCCAGTTGTTAGAAAAACTTCCTGATGTATGTCCTGAAATTGTCCCTTTGCAACTCTAAACCTGTGTCCTCTTGTTCTACTGTCTTGATACATCTGAAAGTATTGATCGAGGTTTACCTTTTCAATCCAATTTAAAATGTTAAACATCTCCATAAGGTCCCCTCTGAGTTGTCTTCTCTCCTGACTGAAGAGTCCGAGGTGGTCTTAATTTTTGCTTGTAGCTTGTAGCTGGCTTGCTGGCGTGGCGGAGCTTTGTGGGGTTGACACTGCTCTGTGCTCCACTCGCTGTGCTTTCCATCCAATCTGTCTCTGAATGGGTCACGTTGCCCTGACAGACACCGTCAAGTCACCAAAAACTCAGCCAGTGCAAACCCGCGGCCATTTCGCCTTTGTGTTAGTTTTGGTGACCAGATGATAGTACCATATGAATTCCAATAGAACACATTTCCTTTTGGTCCAGTAATCAATGCAGTTAACAAGAATGTGCTGCATGTATGAACCCCACCCCTCTGCTTGCCCCCCAAACCCCCCAACTTGGCTAACACTGCGTGTTCCTACTTCTATGCACCACATTTAGGACCAACTTCAGTCACTACACTCCAACCTCTGGAGGCTCCCTGCCTCTACCCCTCTGCCTCACTCCTCTATACCTGTCTTCAAATCTCACTTGAAGGCCTTAGACTTTACCCGTGTGTATGGTCACCTCCCCCTTCCCCTCCCCCACACTTGGGGTCCGACCCCCTTAGAGTGCCCCGAGACGCTATTTCGCTTGAAGGACGCTGTGTAAACACAAGTTCTTGATGATTCTTGAACAACAAAAAGAACATTTTTAGCACCTCTTTAACATCCCAAAAACCAATCACTGTCAAGTCTAGTGACTTTTTGGGGGGAATTAACGCTGCAGTCTTTTTTAAAACCCAAGAGAGATCCAGAGACCACTTCGCCCCCCACCCCTCCCCCACCCACCCATCCCAGCAAAATGAGTGACGGATATACCTGGAAGGTTATTAGTCAGTAGAATGGGGAGAAGCTCCTTTCTTCTCTCCAATAGTGTTCCCCCCTCCTCATGTGTGATCTTTAACATCCGCCTGAACAGGGCACAGACGGGACCTCAGTTTTAATGTCTCATCCGAAGGACAGCAACATTGCAGCACTCCCCCCAGCGCTGCACTGGAGCGTCAGCCTAGCTGTGAGCTCAGTCCCCAACGGGTGTGGGGGGGAGGGGGGGGGGGGGTTGCCTTGAACCCACAACCTTCGGGCCAGAAGCAAAGGTGTGCGCGAGTGAGAGCGAGAGCCAGGCTGACCCCAGCTGGTGATGGCTGGTATTGCAGTAGTGGGAGTGGCATTGGGATCTCTTAAAGGTACAGACCTCGTCTTCCCTTCTTGTCCCGTGCCCCCCACCCATCATTTCAGGCCCTGATTAACCTCTATAACTGGGAAAACTGACTGCTCTGGGCATGTGTGGGTATGGGTTTGGGGGAGGTGGCGTGTTTGAGTGGAAACACATAGAATATTGGGGTGAAAAAGCCCAGTATTTGGGGTGTGGATTAGGCTGTGGGAGGTTTAGGGGCGAGGAAGTGGGTGTAGATGGGGGAGGAGGGGGGAGATGGAAGGAGGGTCAAAGATTGAGCTTTGAATGATTTTTTCCGACTCAGAACTACCCATCTGTTTTCAGAACAGAAAACATCACTGGGACGGGGGGAGGGAGGAGAAAGGCAATATCATGTGACAGACATGTAAACAGAGCTCTCAGTGTAGACCAACACACTCCCAGACCTTCTTTAGTCTCCTTTTCCATCTTCCTGTGAGGTCCGTCCGGGCATGAATCGTGTGGGGGTGACTGGTGGGTGGGGAGCGGGAGGGGGAGAAGGGGGGGGAAGGGCAGGGTGAGAGATAAACATATTGGGATGAGATTTATATTCCCTTTCCGGTTCGCTCTTTTGTTGGGGGGGGGCAGCGATTTGTTACAATGCGCTCGCAGACGATGCAGCCAGTCTTTTTCCGATGTAGATTCTGTGTGTGGGGGGTTGGGGGAGGAGGAAGGGAGAGGAAAAACATAGGTTAGATAGTCAGGCTGACATATCAGAGGCACAGGCTGGTGAGAGCCACAGCTTGGGGACCACAGAGTGGTTAGAGAGCGAGCGAGATGTAAAACTGTAGCAAGCTTCATGTGGTTATAGCAACAACAACAGTGGCGGAGTCTGATGCTGAGTCAGGAGGTGACTGTAAGCATGGTCAAAGAGGAAAGTCTTCAGTCTTGAACTGAACGAGGGGAAGGAAGGGGTAAGATGGAGGGATTAAGAGAGACATATAAAGTACAGACGAGGGAGAAGCTGTTTGAGATAATGTCCATTTTACATACCCGACTCCCAGGGTCAGTAGGTGAGTCACCAGGAGAGAGGGAATGAAGAACATCACAAATGGGGAGCTGAAGATCTTGTTTTTCTTCATTTTCATCACACTGGTCTTATTTACACCCAGACTGGATGGGGGCTTAGGATGTTTAAACACAAACTCCCTGCCAGGTGGGGGGAACACAGCACAAATGCAATAGTCACATCTCACGTCAGTCACATCTCACGTCAGTCACATGTCACATTACATAACTGAACGTATGTCACAAACAACATCACATCAGCTGTAAGTCAGTCACCTGTCACAAATCACACAACATGTCACAAGTCACACGTCAGTCTCCTCGGTCATAGGTCACATTGTCGGCCAGGACATCAGGAGAAATGAGCTTCTCTTTTTCAATAGGATCTTAAACACTCCACCTGAACAGGTACAGACAGTTGGTTTAACGTCTCATCTAAAGGATGGCACCTCTGACCACGCAGCACTCCCCTTAGCACTGCACTGGCATTGAGTCAGTGTGGGCTTTGAGCTAAAAGACCCAACATGAGCACCTGAACACTCAACCTTCTGACCCCAGAAGCGAGGGCACTATCAGCTGAGCCAGGCTGCCTTTTAACAAGTGCTGGTGTCGGGAATTTGAGATGCTGGATACACCACCACCAACAAATTGCACTTATGCAGTGCCCTTCACATCAGCAGGACATCCCAAGGTGCTGGGCAGTCAGGGGTTTGCACCCAAGCTGGGGGTCGGATTCAAGAGGGGTGGGGGACAAAGGGAGTGGGGGAGAGATGACTGAAGACAAGGTTGATGGACACTGTGGATGGACTCACTTTGGAGGGAAGTTCTCTGGTCGACTTGACCAGTACCACATACACTCAGCATTGTTCTGCAGCGTCTCAGTCTCTCCATTCTTCTCCTGGGTCTCCTCATCCGACTGTGGCTAACAATAATAATAATAATAATGGTCAATTTCCAAGAGAAATGAAAGAACAAAGCCTAGATCTAATAATATTCCTTGCATTTGATATAGCGCCTTATCACATCGTTAAGACGTCTCAAAGAGCTTCACAGGATACACTGTAAAGTGAACTGACCGTATATTTTGTGGGCGAAATGCGGCAGCCAATTGCACACAGCAGTGTCCCACAAACAGTCGTGGATTGAGTGACAAAATTATTATTGTTTATTTTTTGGAGGATTATCACCAGAAAGCAATCCTCCAATTGACGAACAACTTGGTTCTTATTTATTCTTGGTAATCAGAGGCGTATGGAGTAAGGAAACTTGTCTAAGGTTTCGCCCTGCCTGGGAATCGAACCCTGGTCCTCTCACTTGCGAGGTAAGTGCTCTAAACAATACACCACAATATATTATTGTTATTATTGCTCTGTCCCACAGCCCATGTAATAATAATAATAAACATATGTACAGTAGTAATACATAATAAAAACCTTCCCCACCTTCCTTTTCCATTTCCCTTCCCCTTCCATTTCCTCTTCATTTCCTGTCCCCGGAGTACACACCTGTGTGCTGTTGCGGTCTCCGATGCTCTGGATCTCAGGTTCGGCAGGGAGCGGGTGAAGTGAAGGGCTCATCTGTAACAGAGGGCTGTGGGACAGAGCAAAGCTCCCCATTAACTCTCACCAGTAAAGTGTCCTTTCCACAGCACAAGTTGCTGTAACTTACAACTTGCATTTATACAGAGCGCTCCACAGAGAATCAAATAGCTTTCCACAGATGCGGGATGTTGTTTTTTTCATCAGCCGTGTGTCTGATACATCGGGAAACCCATCACCGTGTTTGAGAGTCTCCAAACCAAATTGAGAATTCCATGCATCCCACCTACACACGGAAATCCCACAGATAGATTGTTGGAATGGAATGCGCACTCTCTCCCTGGAGGGACACATCGTGATTACCTAATTCTGGAAAGTATTAGGTGCAGGTTGGCAAGAGCCAAGGCTTTTGGACTCCAGATTGTGCGTTGGGGTAACTGCTGGAGTCTAACCAGCTAAAACAACATAACTTGCATTGAGAGCACTGTCTGGCAAGCTTTCCAGCTGCTTATCCAGTTAGGACCATTTAGGGCTTTGGATTGCAGGGTTAACAGAAGTTGAGTGGGAGGATTCCCTGCCCTTAGTGACTGGTCTGCCCAGTCATTGTGGGCATTGAGATGAGGGAACAGCACCAAGCTTGATATAGCTGAGTGGAGAGAGGAGCGGGGCAATGGCAGAGGAGATCAGAGAGATTGGGAGGTGCCAAGATCTGAAGGGATTTATAAGTCAGGGCGAGGAGCTTCAAATTGATCTGCTGGGAGCCATTATGCTACGGGATTTCAAGTTGTTACAAATGGAAGTTGTCGTTGTCTAACCTGTTGCACTGGGAGCCACTCCTCTCCACCTCGTGCTGAGCATCCAGTAAGATTCTCTCCATGTCCCCGTTGTGGATGGAGGATGAGGAGGGAACGTGCTCCAGGCCACACTGAATGTAGTGCAGTTCCACCCAGGAACCTGCCAGCAGGAAAAGAGATCACAATCACAGAATTCCTGCACATACATCCTCTCCTTGGAAACATTTTATCCACTGGCAGCTGCTTAATGGAGGCAGTTTGTTATCATAAATAGCAATAATTAAAATAATAATAATCCTTGCATTTGATACAGCGCCTTATCACATGGTTGAGACGTCTCAAAGCGTTTCACAGAGTAGATTGTAAAGTTAATTCACTGTATGTTTTGTGGGCGAAACGTGGCAGCCAGTTAGGCAAGGCAAGGCAGTGTCCCACAAACAGTCGATCTACAATTGTTTGTGGGACACTGCTGTGCGCAATTGGCTGCCGCGTTTCGCCCACAAATATACAGTCAATTCACTTTACAGTCTATTCTGTGAAGCGCTTTGAGACGACTAGAAGACGTGAAAAGCGCTATATCAAATGCAAGGATGCAAGGATTATTATTAGTAGTAAAACTTACCTCTTCAATCATGCGACAGCTTGGCTCAGTTGGAAGCACTTTCGCCTCTGAGTCAGATATTTGGGGTTTTCAAGCAACCTCAATAGGACATATAGTCTACGCTGGCACTCTATTGCAGTACTGGGGGAGCATGCATTGTCAGAGGTGCCATTCTTTGTGTCAGCCGTTAAACTGAGGTCCATCTGTGTCCTGTTCAAGAGGATGTTAAAGATCCCGTGGTGCTAATCGAAAAGAGAAGGGAATTTCTCTCTCCCGGTGTCCTGGCCGACAATCCCCTGGATAAAATCAGTCACTCACTTCATGGCTGTTTGTAGATCATTGCTGTACGCAGATTGGGTGCCGTGTTCACCTACATGAATACAAAGTCACTACACTTGACAGCAATTTCTTGTGGCATGTTTTGAGATGTTTTGACATTACAGCTGCTGTATTAAATGCGAGGATCGTCTCAATAAAATTCTTTTCCAGTCCTGTACATTTCTAGGGTTTGAATTCTGGATGAGATGTAGCTGATATACTCAGCTTGGTTTGGATGAAGAAGACCCTTCGACACATCTGATCTCATCTCCCAGAACACCCACCCTGCCGTGCCCCCATCACAGCATTGAGCTGCTATTAAATGAATCCAACATCCTGGCTTCAACCCCCCTTCCTGGTAACCCTGTTCCAGTCGTTAATTACTCTCTGGGTAAAGAAACACTTCCTCGTGTCTGTCCATAAATTTCCCCTTTGCAACTCTAAACCTGTGTCCTCTTGTTCTATTACCTCAACGTATCTAAAAGTATTATTCTAGCTTTACCGTATCAATCCCATTTAAACTTTTATACACCTCTCTGAGGTCCCCACCAAGGTGCATTCTCTCAAGACTGAAGAGCCCAGCTTATCTAATCGTTAAAGATTTCAGGTAAAGTGCTAAGCATTGAATTACTCCGAGCCCAGCCGTGCCTGAAATCAGCTGTGAAAGCATTCATCTGCAAATCTGTATCCATGTCTTGTAGATGTGTCACAACATGTCGAAGCTTGGGAAACCTGAATAACCCACAATATAATAATAATCCTCCCATTCGATACAGTGCTTTGCCACATCAACTCTAAACCTAAGTCCTCCTGTCTGACACACAGAGAAAACCGATCACCAATCACTATCGTGCTTGCCTAATTCCAGAAAGTATTAGGCGCAAGTTGGTAAGGGGCAGGGCTTGGGGACCACAGAGTTTACATTGGGGTAACTGCTGGAGTCTAACCTGCAAAAAACACATAGCTTGCCATTGAGTACGCTGCCTAGCAAGCTTTCCCGCAGCTTGTCTAGCTAGGACCTCCCTACCTGTTAGGGTTTTGGCTTGCAGGGTTAACAGGAGCTGAGTGATTAATGATGCTGATGATAATGTTAATGATATAGAATAATAAACAAGTCAGAGAGCATCAATCCTGTTGCCACCCACCCAGCCTCCAAGGGTAGGTGCAGCCAACTAAATTGGAAATGTAAGCAAATTCTCATGGGAATCCCTCAGCCCACATAACACAGCTGTTCTTCCCAGAATGGAGAAGGATTTGGAGACGTCGTAATAATAATGATCCTTGCATTTGATATAGTACCTTATCACATCGTTGCAATATCTCAAAGCAATTCACAGAATATATTAGAAAGTATATTTTGCAGCAGAAACATGGTAGCCAATTGCAGACCGCAGTGTCCCACAAACAGTCGTGGATTGAGTGACGAAATTATCATTTTTGTTGAGGGATTACTACCCCTGGAAAGCAATCTGCCAATCAACTAACAACCGGGTTCCTACTTATTTCTAGGTAAACAGAGACACGTGGAGTAAGGAAACTTGCACTAGGTTTGCCCTACCAGGGAATCGAACTTGGCTCCTTTCGCTTACAAGGCAAATGTAAACTACAGGAGTCCATATAGATTATCATTGATAGTGTCAATAATATGCAGAGGTTTTGCTCTTTAGGATCACACTTCAAAACAGCCAAGCAGATGACCAAAGCGGCCAAATAGCCTTCTTCTGTGCTGTACAGGTTTTTGATAATGGAAACAGGAAGAAATTATTTCCACTGAGCGAATCGATGAGTCAGTCAGTGAGGTCTTAGCCTCGCACAGTCACTGGCATTCTTGCCTTCGAGTCAGAAGGCTGTTTATTCCAGCGTCTATGTCACAGAATTTGAGATCACAGTCCTTATAGTCTGGGCTGACACTCTCCCAGACTGTGAGGGCTGATACAATGTGGGGGGTGCTGATTTGAGGGAAGTTCCGTCTTTTGGATGAGACGTTAAACCAAGGTTTGCGCCTGTGCCTGTTCAGGTGGATGTTAAAGATCTTGCAGCGCTACTCAAAAAGAGAAGGGAGTTTCTCTCTCCTTGTGTCCTGGCCAACAATCCCCCAAATAAAATGGTCACTCACTTCATGGCTGCTTGTGGGATATTGCAAATTGGCTGCTGCGTATAAAACACGCAATCACTATGCTCTAAATGAAACCCTTGAAGGTCCTTTTGAGACGTGAAGATTAATATTATAGTTGAATTAATTAGCAAGCACAGATTTAAGGCAATATGCATAGAGCAAAGGGAGGATGTTTGGAGAATTATTTTTTACGGAGACCTAATAGCATGTGGAGCATCTGACCTGGAACCCTGGTTGAGACAGAATTAATAATAGCTTTTAGGAAGGAATAAAATTAAATAATAATAATTCTTGTATCTGAGATTGCACTTTAGCACGTCAGGAACATGTGTCAAAGTGCTTCACAGGATGAACTGTAAAGTGCAGTGACTCTTTTGTAGGTGAACATCACAGCCAATTTGTGCACAGTAATGTCCCACAAATAGCCATTAGTGAGTGATCGATTTTAGCTGGGGGAATGTCGGCCAGGACACTGGGAGAGAGAAACTCCCTTCTCTTTTCGATTAGCGTCACAGGATCTTTAACATTCACCTGAACAGGCACAGAGGGGATTGAAGTTTAACATCTCACCTGAAGGATGGACATAACAGTGCACTGGAGCAACAGCCAAGATAGGAAACTATCTGAATGGTGAAATAGAAAGGCGTATGCCCTGTGTGTGAGTGTATGTGAGTGAGAGAGTGAGAGTGTGTGAGTGTGAAAGCAGGGGAATGACACTAAGCAGATAGCTCTTGGCACAGGCACGAACAGGCATAATTAAAGCCCACTCCAGGGAAGTCACTGCCGCTTCCAAACCAATGAACGTGTTACTACATAATGAAAAAATAACCACTAACACTGCGTTTGACAGAATGCCTGTACTATCAAGCCCCATGGTATACCCAAACTGGCTGCTGCTTTCGGCCGCAAGTACACAGCACAATAACAATTTACCTTCATACATTGCCTTGCCCTCTACCCCTCTCTGATCCCAACCCGCAGCTCGGGTGCAAACCCTTCATTGTCCAGTGTCGTGAGACATCCTCCTGACATGAAAGGTGTTATTTAAAGCAATTTGTTGTTGTTGTTTCACATGTGGAGGACATCTCAAAGCGTTTAGAGTCACTAAACTTAGTAGCAATTACTTGTGAAGTGTTTCGAGCTTGGGATGGTTGTATCATAAGAAAGTACTGATTAGTGTTAATGCCATCATAATGATCCTATATTTGACCTAGCACCTCAATACGTCAAAAAGTCCACAAAGCTCTTCACAAGATTTCACTGTGAAGTGTAGTGACTGCGTGTTTTGTACCAACGAAGTGAACACAGCAGCCAATTCGCACACAGCAGCTTCCCCGCAAACAGCCTTGAAGTGAATGATTGATTTATTCTATGGGAGTGTTGACCAGGAGAGAAGCTCCTTTCTCTTATCAAATAGCACCACGGGATCTTTAACATCCAGGTGAATAGAGCACAGACAGAACCTCAGTTTAACATCTCGTCTGAAGGATTGCATCTCTGACAATGCAGCATTTAAGCCTAGTACTTTGTCCAGACTTTGACCACATCACAAAATACTGTTTAAGTTTTCAATCTCTCTCCCTCTCTTAGTCTCTCTCTCCCTCAAATCTCATTCGTTCTCTCAGTATCTCTCTCTCAGTCTCTTTCTCTTTTTCGGTGTCTGTCTTTTTCTCAGTCTGTATGTATCTCTCTCTCAGTCTCGATCACACAGTCTCTCAGGTTCAAACACAGTTCCTTCCACTCTCTCTCTTTTTTGTCTTTCTACCTCTCTCTCTTTCTCTGTTACTCAGTGTCTGTGTGTGTGTTTCTCTCCCTCAGTCTCCCTCAGTCTCTCTCTCAATCTCTCCCACCCCGGGCTATGTGGATCAGTGACGTCTGTGTGAGCTGACCCCAGTGCAGAGCTGACCTAGCTCAGTAACGTGGGCTGTGTCACGTAGTCCAGCCGCTCACTGACACTCACTGACCGGCTCTGATATTCCACCTCCTGCCTGGGGGCTGGAGACTGCGAGAGACAAGGGAGAGGATTTGGGAGGACAAAGGGCTGATTGCTGATCCACTCTGAGGTCCTGTCTCCAGTCACACACTGTCGTCCTGAAAGAGCTCAGGACTGTAATGTAAAATGAGG